ACAGAATTTACGAGGACACTTCAAAAAAGTTCACAAGCCCTAAACAAATTACTTATCATCTGACTATCAACTTTCTCATCGAATCATCAACGAGTGGAATTCATTACCTTAGCAAGTGGTTGAGGCTTCATCCGTCGACTCTTTAAAAAAAAAGTTGGATCAACTGAGAGACCACCATTGCCAGGACCAACACAGACCATCAAGCCTCCTATCCTTTTCAAACTGAAACTGATTTCAACCTTGAACTTCTCTCTCTCTCTCTCTTGAGTTAACTGGGCTGGGACGCATTAGATAAGCTAGTTTATTAATCTTTAGTCACTGATTCTTTATTCCATTCATAGATTAGATAAACTTGTAATCACTTCAAACATAACACAATAATAATAATAATAATAATAATAATAATAATAATAATAATAATAATAATAATAATGAATAGTCTGTTTTAAATATAATTTCATATATTATATTATACTACTAATTTTCACAACTATAAATGAAATGATACATTTGATGAATACAAAGAACAAAGAATGGTGATGTTGAAATTTCATTCAATCTAATAAATCTACAATAAATTTCATGTTTAATATTCTATATTATAAACAAATAGTTTATTTTGTCTTTATGATGATAAATTAAAAGTTTTGTCTATATATTTATATACTACTTATTTGTTTGAATTATCCTAGACATATTAACATCCAATTAAAAGTTTATATCTTAAGTCTTATTTTTAGTGTTAAAGATAGTCTATAAAATATTTATGGTATAATAACTATATACATTAAGATGATAAGGTTATTATTATTATTATTATTATTATTATTATTATTATTATTATTATTATTATTATTATTATTATTATGACGAGTATAGCGATAATAAACAAGTCCATTCAATTAGACTGAGTTGTGAAAAAATAATTATGAAACATATTTATAATATAAGCAAAGATGAATAATGGCTAGTAGTGGAATTGAAGATTGATGTTTTATACTGTTTAGAACTCGTCAGCTGGATGTACTTGCATCTCATTAGCTAAATGGATAACGTGATAGGTTCGAGTCCCGGGGTGAACAACTGTGAGATACAGGTATATTCAGCTGATGAGTCACAAATAGGACGAAACACGCGTCCTAGATTCCACTACTAGCCACTATCCTTCTATGCATCCAGTGCTTGTGAATTAAGGCTATATCGAGGCGATACACACAGTATGTAAATATGCCAATAACAGACTGATCAATTGCAGCCTTAAACCTCAATGGGGAGATTCAAAAAAACAATGTCAAGTGAATAGATTAAATTCATTATAATAATAGAACAAATAAAGATGTATTATTCAATCACTGGCATAAAATAAGGTGCGTTTTATTTCTCATACATCACTCTATCTGCTATGAAAGCATATATATATCATTTAGTTATGACTATCATTTGACAGAAAACCCCCTTGAGACGACATATTATTTAATCTTCCTGACAAAAATAGGGAACATTTGTAAATGAGCTCCTTTAAATTAAATATAGAGACTCATTTATTGGTTATATAGATGAAGCTTTAAATTACATTCCTAGTAAACTAATCATGATAGTTGCATAAATATTTTCTACATGAGTTTCATCAAATGTTCTTGAAAATAAAACTCGTTAAAAGCCTACGAACTTATTCAGTAACCAGCCTGTGTACAACCATTCCTTACTGATCATGAACGAAAAAAGAATAATACCTGCATAAACTTCACTGAACTCATTACGAAACAATTTAATAAGGAGGATCAAAAGCAGTTAATAAGAAATTATCAAAAACTGAAATTTTGAACTAATCAGTTAGTATTAGAAGGGGTTTTGTGAAGATTTTAGAAATTTCAATAATTGAAATCGTGAGTCAATTAAAGCTAGACTTAGAATGGGACTCCTCAGCAGTGCGCATCCACGATCCCACCTCCTGTGAGATGAGGAGTCCCATACTAGGACGAAATGGCCATCCAGTGCCTCCAGGTTTCCCATGGTGGTCTAGCTTTAATTGACTCATGATTTCAACTGATAATCAGTTAGTGTCAAATTCAGAAAGAATAGTATTAAGTGAATTTATACTTACGCTACTTACAAATTACGAGTAGTTATTATTTTCACACAAACTAATTGGTTATAAAATTTAACTGAGTTACAGTACGGCTGTGCGTTTGTTTAAAACGTTTAGCTCCACCCTCAGTATTGTTTCAGAGGAAGTCATAGAAAATTTTGTCTGAAACAAAAGTGTACATTTTGGGAAGGAACAAAATTGTAGTGTTGAAGTACAAGATAAGCCAAATCACACTTGTTTCTAATCCTAAGGACTACATTTTGTAGCCATCTGGCCCCATGACACTTATATCTAAATACTACTATCAATGTTAGCTAGGTGCTATGGAGACATTTCAGACCATTACTTTGAACAAAATAGATTAGCATACAGATATAGGGTTCACCAACTCATTATTTTGAACGTTTAATAATAGATGTTTTATAATTCCGACGCTAAACTGATTAGACATAAAATATTGTAAACGCTATAACAGTAGTCTGGAAGTGCATAGTTTGATGTCTAAGTAATCTGTGTTTCTTATATGTTCATTATGCTAGGTGCTTGTAGGAAAAAGAATGTGTTCAAAATGTGTGGATCTAGTAAGTTTAGCAAATGCATATGGTATTTACCAAATTTCCTAAAATAATTTGGACAGTGTGATGTATTTGATAGATGTCAGGTTATCTACTTTTTGTTTTAAAATTATAGTCCTCACGTTAAAAGGTTACCGCGCGATTTTCCTTCCCATTCATATTCCCGCTATAACCACTGTTACTTAGTTTGTTAATCTTACTGTCCTAAAGTCCGACAATAGAAGTGGTTACTTCGTTACGGCAAATTACGTCTGCTTCGGTAGGTGGTCTGCTTAACCAGTGGGCCGGGAGCACTTCCTCCGCCATCCCGTCATTTACAGCCCCAAATGCTCTGATAGGACCGAGAGTGGGGAGAGTCAGCTCTCCCTCTCCGAATGCTCTCACATGGCCATGTGCATACAACCACTAACAGAGAAGTCCTACTCACTACCTTCTCGCAGCATTACTGTTGTTTACGATATTGAGGGGACGAAAAGCGAATGTCCGACGCTTTGAGCGGGTTGGTGGACACGGATGGTCCACCTAAGGGAGTTGGAAAATCCTCATTCCAAACCGACGATGTGCGTGGGCTCCATCATCCTAAGGAAACAAATGACATATGAACCAATCACTGGTCACCGGCTACAATGGGATTGCATCTTCTCAAGTTGCGTGGGTCAGACCTTTAGGTCGAAGGTTCGAGGTATGGCCCCTTAATAAAAACTTCTGTTTCGGTTGAGACACCTGGGCAGTATCCCATCCCTCACACAAATCGAGTGATTAATGTGGCGCATATCTATTTGGTGCCTCTTTGAATCAATGTTTATGTGCTTAAATAAATAAAATACTATCCTTATGTTATGCTTTTTTTCTGCTTCAACTTGCCAAATACTAATTCTTTCATAAACCTTCAACTTCCTTGTTTTTCATAATCCTAGGGATAACTGTTGATAAGCTACATGTAAGTTATATAGTCCGCATATATCTAATTTTATAATAAAAAAATACCTCAGTCGTTCGTAATTAGGAATTGTTGAAGTCTACAGCCAACTTTATATATTGTCATACTCTCGAATTTCATTGTTTCTATTACTGAATGAATGAAATCAAACCAATCGGAATGTAGTGTTAGATTAAGATTAGTACTTGTTTAAAAATGCCAATGTAAAGTTTTCTTTAATATATATAAATATATCTGAACTGAGATTCAAGAAACATGTTCCTCATTTCTTGTTACTGTTCTAAAGTTTAAGGTATTTAGTGATTCTTATTTAAGTTCTTACAATCTTCAACAAGTTTTTTTTTTTGAAAACTGTGTTGGACCAACAAAATTGTTCAGTATTGATTTAGTTTTGCGACAGTTGAGCGGTGTATTGTTTATTATGCAGGACAATCTGGTTACTAAGACCAGAAAAATAGAAATGAAACTCCTTTTCCTCACTACAGTAATTACCCAACAAGATATAGACAGTTGAAAAGCACCATTGTCCATTACCCATTTTGCGTTTTCTGCGATCGTAAGCTGACAATGCGTTCCATGACCATGTAACCTTCTGTCTTCGACTATCACTGATACTATTTATATAATTCAGCAATTAATCTTGATAATTTAAATCCGTGTTGTGATATGTTGCGTTAAGTTGGACAAAATTATATATATGTGTCACATTTTACGTTACTTATCTCTATCCATATATCTGCCCAAAAAAAAGAATCAAATGAACTAAACAAGGTTACGATAAATATAATAGGACGAAACGGCCGTCCAGTGCTTCCAGGTTTTCCATGGTGATCTAGCTTCAATTGACTCATGATCTCAACTGTTTAAATTACTACAATCTCCACAAAACCCCTTCTGATAATAATCAACATATGCTCACTAGTGACTGGCTTCAAGATATATATCCTGGAGTTCTAGTGAGAAGCAGTGAACAGTGAAGTTCAACCGGATCTGTTATGAGATAGTAACTCACTGAAAACATTGGTGGATGTGTCGCTCAATTTCATGGATTAGTTTAAGTTAGATATTAACACCGTTGGATATCTGCTGGATCAGTGGTTTAGAGGTTAAGCGTTCGAGCACGAGAGTGATAGGTCGTGGGTTCGAATCTCGCGAGGTAGGATCATGGATGCGCATTGCTGAGGAGTCCCACAATAGAACGAAAAGCCCTTCCAATGCTTCTAGATTTTCCGTGGTGGTCTAGCTTTAATAGACTCATGACCTCAACTATTAAAATTACTACAATCTCCACAAAACCCCTTCTGAAATATAATTCAGTTTAGTAATAGTTTGTTTACCTTTAACTACTATAAAAATTGTAAGTAGCCACATTACAATCAACAACAACAACAACAACAAAATCCGGCTATCGATGTATTTTCTAGACAAATCAATCTATTCAGTTAAGCTGATCATATACATTAGAATAATATACAAATATATTAACCAAATCATAGGTAATAACCAAACAGATACTCATATAAAACTGAAGAAAAATGTAAAAACATACTACTAACAACATAATAAATAAACAAACAAACAAACAAAAAGAAAAGAAATTCATAAACACTACAAATATACACATAACCATCATTGATTGGAAGTAATAAAATGCACAATTGAGGAAAATGTAAGTAAGTCACTTTCTCATTGTTTCGTAAATATACAATTCGAATAAATTTATTCTTTTAAAAGAAAAACTAAACAAAACAAAAAGAGAAAAAAAAACTCAACAAATACATGAACTAAGAAAAAAGAAAAAAAACTAGAAAAGGATAGAATGAAAAAGAATCTATCTTGTTGATTTACCTTATTGATCTGTAGGCTAATGATGGTGATGATAATAACAAGAAGAAACTCTAAGATTAAGGCAGCTACACCATGAGAACCGACTAGGAGATGGATAAAAAACCAAAAGAAGAAAAAAACGAGAAACATTTCAATGTTGTACATATATGGATAATTATACTATTTAAATGTTAAGGATTAATTCCTAGGAATAATGTTAATCAACAATTGATGATTATTAAACTATAGCGAAATATTACAAGTAAATTAATGAATATTGAATAATAATTTTTTTAATATTTAGTATACAGTTTATCCACTCCTGCTTCAGTTTGGGCACCAGGGCAGTATCAAAGCCCTCACACAAATCAATGATAACTGCTACTCTTGCCTGATTGTTATGGTGTAGTATATATGTATTTGGGACCACCTTGTACTAACGTTTATGTAATCGAATAAATAAATAAAGTTTATCCGCTTAGATTATACATATACACTACGTTGTACGAGATCAAACATGTGAGATTGGCATCATATATAGTAAACTGTTAAAGTGTAAGTAAAGTATAAATTACTGTTCATGAATGGTAACTTTTGAGATCAATTATGGACCAATATTATACGTATATTTTTATCGTATAATTGTTATGCAACTAAACGATTCATATCCGTGTCCCATTTATTATGAGCTTTGTTTTGACCTATGAACTGTTATTATACGATTTACCATTCTTGAATTATTCCCTGTCTATTACATACTACCTCCCACATTCACAGTCACATCTGGGTAATTCTTGTACAAATGTTGTTTCATATTTTATTGGTACGATGTGGTCTGTTTGATTGGTATATAAACTCAGTATGTTTGAAATAGAATTATTCATATGGCAGAGGCTGAGATTAGTGTTGTGGACTTAACTGGCTGGGCTAGGCAGGAAACAGGGCCAATCTGGAATCTAGTCTGGTCATACGGGTTTATGCGTCATCGGTCCGATCGATAATTCACTGCTCTCTAATCGGCGTTCACAAGTTATAACAATAAATTTAATTCGTTACTTTGTAATATTGATAACAGTATCTCTGAAATTCAGTCTCACTAAAACTCTAAATCAACATAAAATCCATTATCCTTATAGGGTTGTGGAGATTGTTGAGTATTAAATTGATATCATGAATCGACCAATGTTCTCGAAGTTCGAATAAGTAGCTGTAACTAGTGAAGTTCAACCGTGTAAAACAGTTCTTCACCGAAGATGATGGAAGATAGCCGTGTAATATCGTGAGTCGGTTGAAGTTAGACAATAACACCGTTGGATATCGGCTGGTTCAATGATCTAGAGGTTAAGCGTTCGCATGCAAGACCGAAGGTTCTTGGTCTGAGTCCCACACACAGGACCATGGATGCACACTACTGAGGAGTCCCATATAAGGACGAGACGGTCGTCCAGTGCTTCTAAGTTTCCCATGGTGGTCTAGCTTAAATCGACTTATGAATTCAACTATTAGATTGCTGCGATATCCACAAATCCCATCATTCTGATAATTACGATACATATATCCTTGATCATAAGTTTTCGATTGACTCATTAACGATTGCTATACGATTTACTGTTTTTAATCTATTCATAATTTATTATTCAGTCTCCCTTACATTCAACTACTTTTTGGCTTGACCATGTGTAATTATTATTTCTGCTTTTATGGTGTGATGCGGTCTGGTCTTCTTGTATATAAACTACAAAGAGACATTATTTGTTTAATTTGAAGTAAGTACTAAATTTTCAATAAGGACTATGATATTATTGACAGAACACATAAACTAAGGGATTTGTTTCTATCAAAAAAGTCATCATTTTTCCACGAACCTTTATTAATGAATACAGGAGAAGATACGTTCTCATGGTAACTTGTGACAATAGCAGGTTCATATATTTAATCGTTCTCATGCAAAGCCTTTCGCTTATGTGCAGCATTTGGTCCGGAATAAAGGCCTCTCAGCTTTTTAAAGTACACACTTTATAACCAGCTGATTAGATTAAGCACTGAACATGTTTTTCGTTTTCTAACGTTCCTGTTAATAAACCACTAATGGAAAGTCATGAACAAGATTCTCATGAGAAAAATTTGTAACTGAGAGACAGGATGAATGTGTTCAAGAGAGAGAGTGTGTGTGCGTATGGTTCAAGGATTCTTAGCAATCATCTTCAACCACCTAAAATCGAAACATCTTAATATTGAACCAAAAACACACACATATACACACTAGACAAAACAAAATACCAAAAAAACAACAAGAATTTCACAGTATGTCATCATCATTAATCGTTAGATGCCGGCTCAGTGGTCTAATGGTTAAGCGCTTGCGCGCGAGATTAATAGACCCCGGGTTCGAATCTCGTGGAGGGCGGGATCGTGGATGCGCAATGCTAAGTAGTCCCATACTAGGACGGAACGGCCATCCAGTGCCCTCCAGGTTTCCCATGGTGGTCTAGTTTCAATTGACTGATGATTTCAACTATTGAAATTTCTAAAATCTCCACAAAACCCCTTCTGATTATACTTACATACCAAAATTCTAACAAAAACACCCCCCCTTCAAAAAAAAACCAACCCTTATTGACTACTACTCACTTGATTTCTAATGAAAATTAAACAACGATAGAGAATAATCTTTCTTTTTTATAATTCAGTTGGTAATCATAATTTATCTGTAATAATATCTACTGTAACTGTTGAATTACAATAAGTCACTGGGATATTTTGAATGGGTAAATTTATAGTTTTATCTTCTATTGAATTCTTCGAATTATCATTATTATTATTATGACTAGTAACAGTAGTAGTAGAAAGTATATTTTGACAATAGATTACAGCATCATGTATACTAATAAATGAATTATGTTGAATTTGTGATGATGTTAAATTATCACTTATTAATACTGTATAAATTTGTGGATCACATATAGTGAATAATATACGAATATCTAATTCAGCATAACTTTTAATTATCTACAAAAAGTGGAACATAGAGAAAGATAGAGACATGAATGATAAAATGATGAATTAAAAACATATTCATATGATACAATTTACGAAGTAATTAAAAACTAGCCTCCAAATGCCCTGATAGGGTCGAGAGTGGGGAGAGTCAGCTCTCTCTCTCTCTCCAAATGCTCTCACATGGCCGTGTGCATACAACCACGAACAGGGAAGTCCTACTCACTACCTTCTCGTGGCACGGGTGTTGTTTATGAAATTGAGAGGATGAAAAGAAAATGTTCAGGGCTTTAATCGGATTGGTTGGCACGGAGAGTCCACCTATGGGAGTTGGAAAACCCTCATTCCAAACCAATGATGTACATGGGCTACAGGATCCTAAAGGAACAAATGGCGTATGAATCAATGGTTGGTCATCGGCTACCATGTGACTGCATCTGCTGACGTTGCTCCAATGCCTTGTGGGTTAAACCTTTAGGTCGAAGGGTCGGGGTGTGGCCCCCTAAGAAAACCACCTGTTTCGGTTGAAGCACCTGGGCAGTATCTCATCCCTCACACAAATCGGATGACTTATGTAGCACATATCTGTCTGGTGTCTTCTTGTACCAATGTTTATGTGTTCAAATAAATAAATAAATAAACAACAATATGAATGATATAATAAGGTTATTGTCATATATATTAAGATAACTAGTCATAAAGAAGGCTCATTATGGTGTGCTATTGATATCGACAGATATAAGTAGTATATATAAACAATCAAAAGCGAAATGCCTGGAGGCAAAAGGTTGAGAAAATTGAAGAGAAGAGAATGAGAACAGAGATTGATTAGTATGGAAGCGAATGAATAACGAAGTCTGAGACGATTGATGGCTCTCAGTTTTTACCAAGATATTCTGTAATATTGTATCAAAATATATTTGATTGTCCCAGCCTGACCAGTGGAGCTAATCCTTGTCGGGTAGAGACAGGTATCTACCTCAGTACAACGGAAGTTGGTCGCGCAATTTCGTGGATTGGTTGATGTAAGAAACTATCACCATTGGATGCCGACTCAGTGGTCCAGTTGGTTAAGCGTTCGCGTGCGAGACCAAAAGCCCTGGGTTCGAATCCCGCTCGCGGGATCGTGGACGCGCACTGCTGAGGAGTCCCACAATAGGACGAAACGGCCGTCCAGTGCTTCCAGGTTTTCCATTGTGATGGTGTAGCATCAATCGGTTCATGATCTCAATCAAAAAATTCATTTTTATCAACTTAAAATAGGTGCTGACCATACAACCCTGCCGTTAAAATATCAGCGATAGCTTCATACTTAAACCAAACAACTTCGAGAGTGAAATATTATGATTAGGTGATTTATCAAGGTTTAAGTCATTTGAATGGGAACAATAAAAAAATATGATACGCCTAAAATACTTAATGAAATTTGAGAATATTAAGACCTAGTGATATGAACATTGTAAGTGGAAAATATTTAACACATCAAGAACTAATTAAAACTTTAGATCACTGAATAAGTGTTTGAAAGAAGCTAAGGCCACTTCATAATGATGAAGAAATCATACTATGTCTACGTTTCGTGCTAGTTTACACTCGTCAGCAGAATGTACTACCAATCTTGGTGCAACTAATGCTCCCTCATGGATTCAAACCCATTTCACTCATATTAATAGGTTGAGAAGTAATCATTTAATGAAAATACACAAAATGAGGATAAAGAGGAGTATATAAGTGACGTAGTATAAAGGATTCCGATCGCGTCCAAACTAATGGCTTCCGTCATACTTCGTAGACTGCTTAAAAAACCCAAGGAAGATCGACTCTTGAAAAGCAGGCCGGTTTCCGTTCTGGTGGAGGATATATTGATCATATCTTCACCTTCGGCTAAATGTTAGAACACCGTCATACTTATTACAGACCAAAAATCGTAGTGTTTCTTGACATCAGGGCTGCCTTCGATTCGTTGGATAGGACTGGTCTATGAGGTTGTCTGTTAAAGAAGAGTGTGCCTGAGAAGTTTATTAACATCCAAAAAGCCCTGTATAAAAAAACCTCAGGCAGAGTGAGGGCATACAACCACCTCTCTCCATTGTTCCATTCGAGCAGTGGGGTTAGGCAGGGTTGCCCAATCTCACCATTCCTCTTCAACGTTGCCATCGATGACATTCTGGAAACAGTTGTGATGGATGTAAGTAATGGTGGTGTGGATCTGTTGCCTCGAGAAAGACTTCTCGACCTTGAGTATGCGGACGATATTGTCTTACTGTGCGATAATGCCCAAGGCATGCAATCCGCACTTAATCAGTTGGCAATCAGTGTCCGTAGGTATGGTATGTGCTTTGCACCTCCGAAGTGCAAAGTACTTCTACAAGACTGGCAGGATTCCAATCCTGTACTCACCCTGGATGGTGAGAAGATAGACGTAGTTGAGATGTTCGTGTATCTGGGTAGCTGCATAAGTGCTGGTGGGGGTGTGAGCGATGAGATCAACGCACGAATAGTATAAGCCAGAGCGGCTTATGCCAATCTGGGCCATCTTTGGCGCCTTCGTGATGTTAGTCTGGCTGTAAAAGGTCGGATCTACAACGCGTCGGTGAGAGCAATTTTGCTCTATGCTTGTGAAACCTGGCCTCTCCGAGTTGAGGATGTTAGACAACTTTCTGTGTTTGATCATCATTGTCTCCGAAGGATTGCTGACATTCAGTGGCAACACCATGTCAGTAATGCAGAGGTTCAATATCCTGTGTTCGAGCACAGAGGCGGTAATTCAAGTAGTGTCACCATCTTGAAACATCTATTTCGGTGGATTGGACATGTCCCACAAATCTCAACCCTGAGAATTTCACGTCAGACATTATTTGCCGACGCTGGGACAGGTTGGAAAAAGCAAAGAGGTGGTCAGTGTATGACATGGTGTCATGGTATGAAAGCTGTGCAGGAATGACTTCTATTGGTCCTTCAAAACTCTCTGGTTGGGGTCCTAGAGATGGTGCAACACAGTGGCTAGAGACGTAATCAGATATGGTCAGTGGAGATCCTACTGTAACTTTATTTTACTTCATAAAAAATGGGCGTAATTTCTTTAACTGGAAGAATTCCTTCTGGTTGTACCTTTGCTAACTGAAGTGCATCTCTATTATTATTATTTCACTCTCATACACTAATTTTTTATAATGACGATAAAAACACTAGGTTGTCAAAAGGTATTCGAAAAAGTGAATCCTTCGGACGCCAATCTTGGGCTTACAGAGATATCAGAAGGTTGTGGATTTTCATGTCGAACATATTCGTGAGTGTGCACTGCTGAAGATTCTCACACTGAGACGAAATTAGTTAAACGGCATTTTTTTTATATTTGATAGTTATAAATAGTTTCTGATGTAAAACAAATCAACTTCAAATCAACACAGTGTTCATAATATTGTTATGCTGAAAAATTGTCGCGAATTCGAAAAACTACGCATGAAGTACAACAACTCAATACTTCCAATTACCAAAAATAGCGGATGTTACAGTTATCTAAAATTTTCAAAGAATTGACCATCGTTAATTCAACCAATGAAAAACTTACATCAGTAATAGTTCTCATACCGACAAAATCCAAATAAATCCATGATGATATATCTAAGATAATAAATTTCAATTGACCAGTAAGATCATAGTCATTTTTACTATCATTAGTCTATTAGAAAATAGAATAAGAATTTAGAAAAACAACAAGCTTTCAAATAACTATCTTGTTAATCTGAATAATACAAATAAAAACTTCTTTTGAAGATATCTAAGTAGTCTATTCAATAAGGAAATACAGTCATTGAGATTATTAAGAATATCATTTTACAAGCTCTTCATATATATGAATTTTATCCCATTCAAAATATTTCCCATTTTTTATGGAGAAACATTTTTCCTATATCCGTTCATGCCATTCTCAACATCTGTCAAAAGTTGCCATTGGTTAGATTACTGAGTAGTGACAGGTGTCATGTTTATTTAATCTTTTATTACTGATCAAATGCTGTCGATTAAATTGTAATATGGTCGCTAGTACCAGTGTCTCAATATCAAGTGGATTAAGACGAGATGTTAGGTGGTTATAAACAGTTGATAAGATATCTTGTTTAACCTACGTTTCATGGTAGCTAGTAATCATCAGCAAAGCCTATCATTAATTATGACAGTGATCAATCAGTTGTAAGTACCTCACTTATACAGAAGGTCAGTGACATCGTGATTAACTCAATAGTATATTCTCAGACTATTGAGCTAGTTCCAATTCAACAGAGAGCTTAAGTCTCTTTAAAATTCTAAGTATGCTTTGCTGATGAGTTTTAACTAACACAAAAAACTAGGTCAGACAGAATTTCCATTCTGATATGTCCAACTACTAAACATCTCACATGGTCTCTCATAAATACTTGGTCCTTCACCTTACCCATCATTAGATTATCTCAATACTGTCTATGTATAACCATTTAGCGTTTCAAACACAAAAAAGTATCATAGAAAACTATTTCCAATGAATGTGAAATGTGATCTAGTGTGATGATCAAGTTATAAGCTATAAAAATGCTAACAATCACTCTTGAATATCTCTATATACAGTGTAGTAATCCGTGAAAGCGTTTGAACAATATAAATGATTAATCATTTCTCTTAGTCATATGTATTAACAAACAACCTCAATAGATCAGTTCACGTATTTGCTAGACAGATAATGGTTCACAAATATTTGTCATCTTAAAAAGTGTTTTACTTAGCATACAATATGATCATTTAATTCATTTCGTATTGTTTGTTTGAATCTTCCTATCGATTTTTAAGACTGCAATTGATCATTCTCATATTGGCATATGTGAGTCCTACGAACGTCAAGACAGTTCTAGTGTACGAAGCTGAAAGTTGGACAACTACCTCAACCATCATCTAAAATGTATTGGTATTTATAAACAACTCTCTACGCAAACATTCAATATTCGTTTGCGAGATACCATCAGTAACAACCTACTTCCCGAGAGAACAGAAAAACTACCAGGCGAAGAGGAAATGAAGAAAATATACTGGACATGAGTAGGACATAGATTGAAGAAATCATCAAACTGCATCACGAAGCAGGGACTGACTTGGAATCCTGAAGAGAGACTGAAAATTGGAAGGCCAAAGAACACACTGCGTCGGGAATCGGAAGCAGACATCAGAAGGATGAATAGCTCAGTGGTCTAGAAGTTGAGCATTCAAGCGCAAAACCGAAGGTACTGAGTTCGATTTTCGTGTTCGGGATAGTGAATGCAAAGCGTACCACCGAGAACTTCCATACTACAAGCAAACGGCCATTCAGTGATTTTCATTGATGATCTACCTAAGATCATTTCGTGATTTCAACTGTAAAATTGCTACACATATCAGTGTATAATCTATTAGTGACTACAAACAACTTTCGACTTGGATTATTATTCACTTATATAATAATAATAATATAAAAAACAATTCGAGTCAACGAAACATGATTTGAAAAAGGACAGTAATTTGATAAAGCTAATAAATAAATGAAAGTACTTTTACATAATCCATGTTGTGTACTGCATTATATGTTACATTAAATAAACTGATCACATGATAATACAAATTAACAAGGTTGCTTCTATAATTAAAACTGTAAAATTTGACGTTGTATCTGTATATTATAAACTAATAGAGGGTTTCATAGATGCTGTTAGATTTTGTAGCATTATCACAATTGAAATCACGTGTCAATCTAAGCTAGACTGCCATTGAAAACTTCAAGGCACTGGATGGGCATTTCATCCTAGTATTGGACTTTTCAGCAATGTGCATCCACGATTCTGCGCAAGGCAGTCGAACTCAGGATCTTCGGTCTCGCGCGCAAGCGCTTAACCTTTAGGACACTGAGCCGGTCGATATCCAACAGTGACTAACTTTAATCGGTCTGTGATCTTGGGCAACCCTTCATTCGATTTCTGAAGGGGACAGGTGTCTCACATCCGACACGAATTGGACTCCAATGGTCACGGCTTCCCACTAGAACTCCAGGAAATCTATCTTGAAGCTAGTCATTAGTGAACACATGACTATTAGTAGCATGGGAATTCGTTGAAATCACGAATTGATCCACTGCTAGCCATCATCCATCTTTGCTTATAATGCTTGTGACTTAAACAATATCGAGGCAATTTGCATAGGATGCACATATGTCAATAAGTGACTGATCAACTGCAGTCCTAAATATCAATGGAAAGTTTCAAACAAACAATACAAAATGCACTCTTTACAAAATCTACACACACACACAGCATTTCAACCCCACTACTTCAGATTACAAATGCACACATTTTTTCATATTCATCACCATACAAATAAACACAGTGATTTGTTATACAGAATCACCTTGACCAAAAATAACTTGACACGAACATATTCAAACTTTCCATGACCTTGTTTCCATTAAAAAAATATTCTACATTGTTTCCTTTGTACCACTGAAACTTGTGTTCATATTATTTCGGTTATTTATTTGTTTACTCTAAAGGAATAACATACATTGTCACAAAACGTTAAAAGTACAAATTTCTAATCATTCGGATATTATGAAAAAACTGTAATTAATATTAAGAGGCTTGTAGTGGCATTGGACAATAACCACACAGTCCTCAAAGATGAACACGAGACTACTCGGTAAACAGATATTCAATATTTAACGCGGAGAAATACCTAACGATGGAGAAGGCGCGAACAAAGTGTTAAATTGATTGGAGTTGATCGAATGGCATGGCTCGGCCATGCAGGCATGGTCTCTGCTGGATGTTACCTTATATCTTCTATTCATATTAAATATATTGTTCTTTCTCTAGCCTAAATTTGTTCTACATCATGTATTGGTAATTGATACGATACAGTGAGTTGGTGTAGTCGATGGTGTGACTTCCACTTAAGATCTTATAGATTAGGCAGTTATATCATGACAAATCTACAAATTTAAGATTAGGTCTATTATTAGAGCAGTACTAATATCATAGTACACCATAATTCTACAGGCTTATGGTTATTCAATTAAAGAACAATTAATCTGTGATCTAGTGAAATATTGATGTGGAAACTTAAAACACTTCTCATTTTAAAAGATAATATGATTTTGGAATAAAATATGAAACTTGGGATCAGGTCAAGAAGTTAATGACTATTGAACTATATTGAATTAAACATTGTAGTCTTTTGAGATAGGTGACTATGAAATAACTTTAAATGATGGCTAGAGGAATAAGATAATATAAACAAAGATGGATGATGGCTAGCAGTGGAATTCAGGACACGCGTTTCGTCCTATTTGGGGCTCGTTAGTTAGATGCACCTGCATTCCAGAGTTGGAGCTAGTGGCACTAGGTTCGAGTACCAGAGTGAACATTAACTCGGAGATGCAGGTACATCCAACTGACGAATCTCAAATAGGAAGAAACGAGCGTTCTAGATTCCTCTGCTAGCCACCATCCATATTTGCTTATAATGCTTGTGACTTAAGGCAATATTGAGGCAATCCGTGCAGGATACACATACGTCAATAAGAGAATGATCAATTGCAGTCTTAAACATTAATGGGGAGATTCAAACAAACAATACAAAAGAAATTCAAAGTAATATAAAGTTGAGGATAATCTCGGTAGTGATATAATAACTTTCTTTATCTTTCTGTCAATCTAGGATATAAACAATACTTCAAAATTCTTATTATACGGTTTTATACTAATGTTATACTATTTATATCCAGTGCATTTGGTCTAATGTTATCATTTTGAATAAGTTATATTTTGCTTCATTAACTTCATGTATTGCTGTGTTAGTAAGATATGTAACTAATTCAGCTGATATACACTTCTCTAAATAGTATATCGTACGGATCTGAAACTTGGATAACTACTACAACCATAATCAAAAAGGTACAATTATTTATAAATAGTTGTCTACTCATGATACTCAATATCTGTTGGCTGGATACCATCAGTAAAAGCCTACTATGAGGAAGAACAAACCGACTTCCAACTGAAGAGAAAATTAGAAAAAGACGATGGAAGTTAATAGGATATACATTACGGAAATCATCAAACTGCATCACAAAGCAAACGCTAACTTGGAATCCTGAAAGGGAAATGGAAAAGAGGAAGACCAAGGAACACACTACGTTGAGAATTGGAAGCAGATATCAAAAGAATGAATAGTAAATGGAAAGGCTTGTCCACGACAGAGTTCAGTGGAGAATGTTGGTGGACGGCCTGTGCTCCTTCACGACGGTTGACAGGTGTAAGTAAACAGTATATCATTCTAAGTCACAAACTAGTGTTGCAATGTAGCTCTTAATTAACTAAGCAACAACAAGAACATTATATTCTTGTTGTTCCGTTGTGCTTTTTACACTTGGATTAATTTTGATTTGATTATTTATTTACTCTGAAGAAGTGGCTTACACTGAGTTACAAAACGTCATAAAATCTAATTTTTCTACTCATTGGGATATTATTAATTTCCAACAATAACCAATAAGACATTCAAATATATTCACTGATAAGTAACTAATCTCACTTTAAACATTTCTATTAATTAACACTTCATATCAATAAAACAACAACAACAATAACACAGACACATACAGTAAACTCAATGCCAATCACTCATAAAGATTTGAATACCTATGCAATGGATTACTTGATATGAGAGTATAACCAAGAACATAGACAATAGACATTATATAACAATTGTAAAAAGCGAAAACTGTCTTACATCCGTCGTAAGTTGTGAAATATGTGGAAATTCGCCACAATCTTTCTTTTTATTCAAATTGACTCGTTTTATTACATTTTTAACAAAAGACAATCGATTATGTCTATTATGTTGATACTGATTCAGATTTTCTTCATTAAGTTGTTGTTGTTGCTTACGGTCCAATTGTTGTTTGATACGTTGACGTTGTTTAATCAATTTATGTGGATTAATATTGGTCATTTGATGAATCCAATTTTGAAAAGATTCTGAATTGGCATAATACAATGGACCACCATATTTTAATATAAGAATATTGGGAAGTTTTATAGCCTAAAAATGAATTATTAATATTAAAAAAAAATATTATTAGATTTACGTAGAAATTTGATTTTAACATGGGTTGTGATATTTATCAATATCGAAAGTAGTTCAAATATATGCAGGTGACTATCAGGAGTTAGTAGCTAAGTGGATAACGTGATGGCGTTTGAAGCAAACGGTACAGCGTTCGAGTCCCAGGGTGAATATTAACTCTGGAATGCAGGTACATCTAGATGACGAGTAGCAAATAGGACGAAGCGGCGCGCGTCCTGGATTCTGCTGCTAGTCACTATCCATCTTTGCTTATAAAGCTTGTGACTTCAGGCAATATCGAAGCAGTCCGCACAGGATGCACATATGCCAATAAGAGACTGATCAATTGCAGTCCTAAATAACAATGGGAATATACAAACAAAGCAGCACCAATTGAACTTATATGCTAACTAGGTTTAATAAAATATCATTTCTACTACAATCATAATCTAAGTATATCAAAAACAGTTAGTTCAAATCACAAAGATAAGTTTTCGATTTAGGAATTCAGTAACTATTAGTGAGCATGGAGATTTGTAGAGATTGTAGTATCTTGACAGTTGAATTCACGAGTCGATTTAAACTAGACTACCATTGAAAGCCTTCAAGCAATAGACGACCATTTCATCCTAGTATAAAACTCCTCAGCAGTGTCCATACAAGATCCCGCAACAAAGGGACTCGAACCAAGGACCTGCGGTCTCGCGTGCGGACGTTTAACCTCTGGACCACTAAGTCGGTTGCCATCCAATCGTGTCAAACTTAAATCGATCCGCGATCTTACGTAACCCTTCATCCATTGTCTGAGGTGGATATCTGTCTCACACTCGACAGTATCAATTAGCCTAGGGCAAAAAAAGACTGAAGGCTTTTTGGTCACGGTATTTGCAAGATAGTTCAAATAAATGTATGGTAACATCAGTGATAGTGCCTGTTTGCCTATGTAGAAGTTAAAAGTGTTTGTCATTAAGTCGTCAATTAAAATTTGTAGCAAATAGAAAACTAGGAAAAAACTTGATTAAACTAATTATTTAAGAGAAAAAAGTATGCCATATATCAACAAATCCAATTAGGTAACGATATACGGAACCCAAGTATCATCCATCATAAATTACATATATTTTACGAATTCGATGACTTGATCTAACGACGCAGAAATTAAGCATTATAGTTAGGTATTAATTCCATTGGATAGCGACTAACCTATGATTCTCATATCCACAATAGTTAATATGTTAAATGACTTTATAAGTATATTTATTCTCATGTTACATTGTATATTTTGCTAGAAGAACAAACTTATTCTGCTGAGCAGCTGAATTGTCTTCGAATATCAGTTAAATTAGGGGGAAGGAGGATTGCTATAGATAGTGCGGTCTCATAAACAGTATTTATCGATCGATCGATGCATTTTCTATATTAGTTTAGCAATCCATAAAGAAAATTTTCATTCGATGGTGGTTGGAGGTAGTCAACAGGAAACCGTGGACCCGGGTTTCGTGCTACTTGGCACTCGTCAGCAAGGTGTACCTGTAATCTTAAGGGAACTGGTGCTCCCTGGCGGATTCGATCTCGTATCACCCAGCTTCTCAGTCAGAAACGTTACCACTGTGCTATCCGAGCCGCGACTGACCTCCTGTGGGACTGAGATGTAATCACAATCGATTGATCACTGGGTGGTGACCAATGTCATGCGTGTCTAGTCCTTACTAGTGCAGATCGAATGCTATTGATCATGTTGCAATGTGGTCATTAGTCTAGGTGACTCGACACTACGGGCACTATTGTGAAATTAGATGGTGGTTGGAGGTAGTCGACAGGAAAACCTGGACCCGGGTTCTCATTCTAAATGATAAAAGGCTAGTTCGAAACATAACTAAATAAGTGTTCAACGTTATATCAACAATAAATTCTACACAAACAAATGTAAAACAGAACGTCAAGTTACGAAATCGATTAAAAGCTGAGTAATAAGCATAGTACATAATCTAATAATAACGTGATAATCTAGTAGTAGATAGGTAACTTACTTCATCATATCTCTTTAAATCAACATAAATATTTGTGTTGGGAATTTGGCCAAGTTCATAATAATATGTCGATTGTGTACGATATAATACCGTTAGTAGGGAGAAGCACAAACCAGTTAATAAACCTATCGGGACATCAATAAACACGGTGGCCATGAATGTTACAAGCCATATAAGCTTAAAGATTAAAAGCAAAGAAAAGAAAAGGAATTACTAATATTTTAAAAAAGGTATTCAATCGAAAAATGAATAGAATGATACATGAATTTGAGTATGGTATGACCGTACAGAAAAAAAACCGTTTGACAAAGAAATTTATATACATCTATGAAAACTACTGATTCAAAATTTAGTAGCCCACACATTCAAATTATGATGGGGAATGTATAGTGTTTAGCTCTTTTTACTTTTCAATGATTTTGTAGTTCTGCTATGTTTGAAGAGATTACGAAATCGCCTAAACTGATGAACCGGACGAAAAAAACAGCGACACAACGATAAACTAACTATTCCGATATGTCCCTGCCAAGCTAACTAGAAGAAGAAGATCAGATTCAGAAGAGGGGAAGTACATTATACAAGCAACCAAGAGTACGAACGAAAACAAGCACACAATTTCAGAGTATATATATACAGTGTAGATATGTCCTTAGGAAACGTCACGAAATAGCATATTAAAAGAGATAACGAACGGATGACATTTAGGGCCCTTCCAATTGAGGAATACAATCTGAAGGTAAAAATGGACGCTGTTGCTGCGAAAACAAGAAATACAAATTTCTTAAATAAAATCATAAAAATAAGATGTTCACTAAATGAGTTCTGATGATCTAGCGTACCCGAAAAGTTCTTACTTATTTATAATGCACGTTATGAAATTGTACAAAATCTCACTACAACATAAAGATGGTTCAGATAATAAATAGTAGAAATAAAAATAATAATTGTAATCCATGCAAAGGAAATAATTGCAAAAATACCCATGTACACCACTTACCATATCATATATTGAAACACGATATAATGCACGTAAATCCATAATTTGTAAGAAGATACTTTCAAGCGATACGACAATAATTGATGATAAGATACACTAGAAACCATCATGAAAGTATGTCAAAACAACAAAAAAACAGAATACAAATAAATAATGAACAGTTGATTGGCAGTAATAATCTTTTAATATAAACACCCAATATTAATATATATATATATATATATATATATATATATCAGTCAGCTACAACGTAGAACCAGACACATATATGCATCGGTCCAAGTTGCCATACCTCATCAGCACAACAAGATAAACATCGAATTCATAGAAGTAGTTAATTCAATGGTGCTATTATATAAAAGAAAGATTGAATATAAGGATATAGTACAGGAAGAAAGAATCAGTTGGTAGAAAGAAAGATATAAAGCAATTTTAATCTTATCGTTTAACGGAAGATAGAGAGTGTATACACCGATGCCATTGTGATCGATTCTAAGCCATGTCACAGAGAGTCTCCAACCATTGGTTACGATAGTCACGCGGACCCCAAACAAGTATATATATATATATATATATATATATATATATATATATATATATACATTAATGGCATGCGACTGACCTCACAATTGATTATAATTTAAAACAACTTCCATAGTGGATTATTTATTGATCAAAGTTCTATTCATTATTTTACCAGTTTTAAGATTAACTTAAGAGTTCAACTACTAGAAATCACTACAATCTCCACAAATCCCCATTCTGATAATAATCATGTGTTTATTAGTGACTAGATAGATTTCCTGGAATTCTAGTGAGAAGCTGTGACCAATGGAGTTCAATCAGTGTCGGGTGGAGACAGTTATCCACCTCGCAATGGATGAAGGTTTGCGCAAGATCATGGATCGATTGAAGTTAGACATTAACACTATTGAATATCAGCCGGTCCAATTATCTAGAGGACAATGGTTCGCGCACGACCGAATCTATTGGTTTCGAGTCCCTTTAAAGCGGGATCATGGAAGCGCATCATCGAGGAGTCCCATACTATGACAAAATGGCCGCCTACTCCTTCCAGGTTTTCAACAATAGTCTAGCTATAAATTTAAAATGTGTTCAACTTCATAAATTCTGATACAATAAGGTTGATCCGATGAGTTTGTGCTTTCAACTGTGAAAGTGCTATAATCTTCACAAATCTTTCATACTACCGACCAGCTTCACAAATCATTGGAGATCAACCAAGGTTTAAAAGATTTAATCAGTGGTTGTTAAAAGCTAATTTTAACTTTCTTACTTCTCAAGTTACAAATGTCATTCCAAATTCCAAATAATAGAGAATACTTAATTCAATATCATTTAAATGAAAAACAATCAAATAATCTCTTGAGCTTTAAACACAATTTTATATAATTTAGCATAAAATGATTGTAGGGATAAGTTAATTTGTAGTTTTATATTACATATTGAATATAAATAAGCAACTATTAAAAATAAAAATAAAAACATTGAATAGTTGCTTCATTTTAGTAATGGTATCTATACGGTAGGACACATTCATGACCCTATCAGAAACATCTATTGATTAGATTTCTTCGTTTTGGGAAAATAAACAATTTTCAAAGTTAAAAATGTTAGACATTGGAATAATGAAATCAAAGATTTCAAGATCCTGAATTCTACTAATAATAAAGTGTTGGATAAGAGTACTTTAATAATAGAGTCTTATACTGAGATGAAACAGCTGTATGCAGTACAAGTTTCATTTGCACTAGATTATATAATTTAAATAAAAGGATCATTCAAAAGAGTTTATGAACTATGGATATGAACAAAAGAACCTTAATGAATATGCTAAATAAATTTTAAAAAAAACTACATACCTTTGGAACAGTTTGTAAAAATTGTCCAATCACAGTAATAACAAGTAAAAGAATACAACAAGAAATTAAAGAAGCAACCTATTCATCCAGTAAAAAAAAGAAGAAAGAACACATTTGTTTAATAACTGATAAATAGGAATAAATAAATTGATTAGTTATGGTGTAATGATATATGTAGAGCTGTGTAATCTCTGTATTTAGGTTGAAGTTCAGCGATGTTTATAGTTTGTGCCCATAGATTCCGTTTTACGGCTGAGGGTGGGGAGAATCAGCTCTCCCTCTCGAAATTGGCTCCAGGATCCTTAGGGAACAAATGGCGTATTGTTGGTGACCGGCTACCATGGAACCGCATCTCCTCATGTTACTCCACTGTCTTGTGGATTAGGTCTCTAGGTCGTAGGCTTGGGGTATGGCCCCCATAAGAAAATTACCTGCTTCAGTTTAAGCACTCGGGCAGTATTCCAGCTCTTACACAAATCGAATGGTGAAGTGTAAGGCATATATATTTGGTGCATCCTTGTATCAATATTTATGTATTTAAATAAGTAATAAAAATAAATGACTTACGTGATGTTTGCTTAATCCTCTGTGCTGATTAAATTATATTAAGCCAGGTTTCATACTGGTTGAAACTCGTAGCTAAGGTTTACTTGAAATGTTTGGCAGACCGATGTTAACTGTGGGACTAGAACGGGTGTCACCTAGCTTCATAGCCTATAACGTTAATACTTAGCTATACGGTTCAAAACTGACTTCTTGTAGGAATGAGATATCTACAATTGATCAATCACTTAGTAGTGATGACAAGTGTTGTGTTTGTTTGGACCATTTTATGATGATAATCAAATTTCATTAATTAAAAAGTAAACAAAAAGGGGAATATTTTGAAGCAAATTAATACTGAAATCATTTGGAATATACTTGAAATTCAAAGAAAATGAAGTTTGTTTAGAATAAGTATTTTATTTATCTACAAGTACTGAGGTGTTCCTTAACACAGCTTTGATTAATACATAACTTAAATTTTGACTATGATACCCTTCACCATTTTGATTTCATCATAAATAGTAAGGTGAATTGTTATATCCAGAGCTTAGATTCTTATTATGTCGCTAGAACCATCTAAGTCGCAAATGAGAAGAGAGGAGACAAGTGAGAAGGAAAGCTTTTCCAAACAATGTCATTTATAGTACAGAACTGCTAGGTATTTATAGTTTTAGTAAAAAAGAAATCATTATTATAGTCCTGTAATCCACATACAGGGGTTATTAGCATTTGTTCGATAGGGAAGCTACACGTAGTTTTGAATAACAATTCTTCTGGTTAGCGTTTTTTTAGCGAGTTAGTTTTCTACGGGGTGGGGTCGCCAACCCCATGCCCAACCCTCCTCCTTTATCCGGGTTTGGGACCGGTATTAGCCCCCGGGGGGACTCCAGGTGGAGTTGGGAATATTCTTCCAAAAGATGATTGGATGGAACATCTTCGGCTCTTTCTGAGCTTCATAGAGCTTCCTCGAGCTCACCTGTGGACCGTCATCACATGAATATTTCAGTTTCATTCACTGGCAGATTGATAAGTCAGATATTCCAACAATATGTCCTCAGAACAAGTCGAAATTCAGACTTCTAAGACACACTGACGTCATGTTATATACTACGTAAGGTTCATAACAATTAATAACGTACTGTACAAACTACATATTCGACTAAATCTAGGTTACTGAAATTTTACAGTAAGTAGTATTCGCATTAATAAAATTAGGTTGAAATTTGTCCATCGGCGCCTTATAATTCATATTCTTGGAAGTTATTATACTTAACACTGCACATTCAGATGCATTAAGCTAGGACTTGATCGTTCATGGGAGCGCCAAAGTCCTCGGTCCCAAGAAAATGCTTATCTGTAGACAGTCTGCGCAAGACTAAACAAAGGAAAGTAATGACAGAAGTCAACAACAACTGAACAAAAGCAGAGAAAGTCAAGACATTTGTTAAATATACAGAAGCAAACAATCGAGTGAAGAACTGTATTAGAGTTGATGAACGGAAAGATATAGAAGACCTGGCAACTACAGCAAAAGTCTCCAAGAAGAGGAAGAACTATATGATAGAATGAAGCTAGCAGAGAAATATAGTAAACTAGAGTGGCCGTACAAAAACGGAGAAGGTAAACCAATCCCTGAGGTTTGAAAGCAATGGAACAAATGAGAAGAGGACAATACAGAACATTTGAACAAACTAGCAAACCCACCGGACATCGATGTAACACGCATAGATCTCTCCATAGATAATACCCCAACTGGGAAAAAAAGAAACTAGCGAAGCCATCAGCCAAGTTAAGAATGACAAAGCACCAGGACCAGAGAGATTACCAGCTGCAGTACTAAAGTCAGAAACAAGGGTAACAGTAAAGATGCTCCATATTCTCTTTAGAAAGATTTAGGGAAGATAACAAGTACCAAAAGACTGAAAACAATGATGTGTTATCAGGATATCAAAGAAAGATCTTGGCGAAGATGAGAACAACCAAGGGATCATACTGTTATATCCGAGCGAAGATTAAATCATGAGTAACTTCTGAGACATATTAATTGACTAATCTTATCTATACATTCTAATGGTATAACTATTCAATAATTAGATTATGTATATTTATATTCCTCTTATTATAAGCTTTATTTTGACCTATAGTTCATTATTGTACGATTTACGATTCTTATTCTATGTTCAGTTTATTGACTACTGCCTCGCACGTTCACAGTCACTTTTTGGCTTTATTGTGTACAAATGTTATTTCCTATTTTATGGTGCGTTGCGGTCTGTTTGTTTGATATATAAACACAGTATGTTCGAAATATATGATTCGCATAGTGGAAGCTGGTATTAGTGTTCTGGACTCAAGTGGACGGGCTCAGTCAGTCAGGAACAACGTAGACGGGCTACGAGGACATAGGAGCAATAACGACGCTAGGCTGCTCATACCGGTCGAACGTCATTGGTTTGGCACAGTGCTGAGATTGTATAAGTCGTATTTTGATTGGTGGATAAATCACGTGATAAAAAGCCGGACATAAAGTCACAACACATACTACCATCCGTTCCAAGAATGAAATCTTTCAGTGTTTAATATACAGTAATCTTTATAGTCTTTTGAAATTGTCTTGAAGTTATTTTATTACTGAGCAGAAGAAACTTGATATATTAGAAACAGGTAAGAAAAACGGTATATCATTACAGAGTATCGTCTAACCATTTATAACATTGTTACAGTACTTGTTTATCAACTTAACTACCAATAAAATTCAATTCTCTAGAAGTATTTCTAATCCTGAAACATTATAGGTTATTAAGGTAGCTGATGAGAGCTATTAATATGAAATACAATAAGTCCATAATGTTCTGTCCAACTCGTTGTTGTTCACTTTTAATATCATAAAGGGGAACTGTGTGTATGTGTGTACGTGTATTTATATGCATCAAACGTAGCACTTATATAGCAGCTCCAAAATGTTTATAATTATAGAAATTACATATTGACTTGACAGGATAAAGCATAAAAATGACTAACTTGAGAACACATTCCAACGTTACTAGCAACTGAAGTCCGAGCCAAAGCACCAGATGAGGGTTGACAACGAAAAAATCCAGATATTACATTGGACAAGCCTAGTGCATTCAGTTCCTGTTTTGTAAACATAAAATAACACACAGAAATCAACTATTATTTGTATAACCCAACACAATACAAATACGGGGGTAATTTTTTGCCAATTATACAATCCTACCTACCTATGAATAATTATCACTACACTGAACATATATTGATTTATGGTGTACATTAAATGGTGTCATCAAGTTACAATTTTCCACGTCACGAATTGACCACAAAGCACTTAACACAGTCATGTCGCTCTAGTATGAGACTCGTCGACAGTGAAAGCCAACTTTCGTGATCACGCTAACCATCATATCCTAAATGTTCAAGTTCCGTGACGAGCATTTAACCTTCAGACTACTGAATCAGTATCCAGTAGTTTACAATTTTAACTCATTGAAATTCCCGAATATTATCATTGGTGATATCTGTCTCACGTTCGGAATGGTGAAGTCCAGTAATCAAACAGGACAATTATACAACGTTTCATGATTTTCAGCGGTTTTCTAACCAAGGTTTAAACATCACGTGAAAATTTAGTCTTGTAACAATTATATATGTGTACTTTACATTTAGTCCAACAGTTAGGTTGTATAGTTTTGGTAAAAGTAGCTCCACAAAAATAATCGATCTACATAAGAAGAATTTAGGATGTAGTTTTAATGAAATAACAATATTGAGAGGTGAAAATGTTTGTGTTCGAGGTTCAATTAATAATCCGGATGAAATCTTGAAGTAGATATGTCGAATTTTGTAAATAACTGCACAACTCGTACATTATTGTGTTAAACTATTTCAAGCACCAGATACATAAACTAACAATCCACATTCACATTATGATCAGGTTATCATCTACCTACAGAATTTGAGACGTAAAATACAACATAACTTTTAGTTATACATGTATTGTACTCCACCCCCCCCCAAACGACTCTTAATACAACCACCGAAAATTGAGAAGCTTCATCATGATGATACAATAAAGAACGTATAAATATTGAGTGAAATATTTGGTATGTCATTGAGAAACATGCATGGAAGTTATAACTTTCGGAGAATGGAATTCAACTGTATTCAAGCACTTTAGAAATACAAAATGATGATAATATAAAAAGTCTCTTCTTAATTTAAATTCTTTGGAAACAATGCATTCTCCAGAATATACTAACCATGATGATTTTGATTAGAAAGACATAAATATTTACATGGAGTAAACTTGATGAAGAAATAATTATCCGACACAAAAATTGAGAATTTTCATTTATCCCAATCTAGATTTTCCTACGTGGCTTTTTGAGTTTTTTTTGAGTTAACTGGGACTGAATTTCGGAGAATTTATTTTTAATTTATTTACTTAAACACATCAACATTGGTACAAAAAGGCACCAAATAGATATGCACCATATAAATCATTTGATATGTGTGAGGGCTGGGATATTGTCCGGTTGCCCAGACCGAAACAGGTGGTTTTCCTAAGAGGTCACACCCAGAGCCTTTGACCTAAAGGTCTAATCCACAAGGTAGTGGAGCAACGTAGGGAGATACAGTCCCATAGTAGCTGGTCACCAACAATAGGTTCATACGTTCATTTGTTCCTTTAGGATACTGGAACCAATGTGGACCATTGGTTTAGAATCAAGGTTTTCCAAATCCTCTAGGTGGACTCTCCGTGTCCACTAACCCGGTTAAAGCGCCAGGTATTCCCTTTTCGTCCTTTTAATTTCGTAAACAACACCAACACGGCGAGAAGGCAGTGGGTAGGACTTCACTGCCAGTGGTTGTATGCACGTGGTCATGTGACAGCATTTCGAGGAGATCTGATTCGCCTAACTCTTGGCCGTATCAGGGCATTTGGGGGCAATTTCAGAGAAGCAACATGTTTTTAATTCGGTGTCATTTAAAAACAATGAAATTATTCACAGCAATTTATAAGTAGCACAGATCAAATCGATATTTTTTTGAAGAAACACAACAGTAAGATAATCTAAGTGGATGTTTATTATAATTTAATAAATTTATAAAAAATAAACAAATACTGAAGTCACATGGTCTAATTCTATCAAGTAGGCAAATGAAGATCGGATGATCAGCATAATCATATAGATATGGATATTAAAGCTAAGTGAATACAATCATTTACTGTTGTAAGAATAATGTCAAACCTTTTAGTTTCAGTAAAGAAATATACAAAGTTGATTACAATAGATTGATCAGTAGGCAATAACCAATATCATGTATATCAGATCCTTTTTAGTACAGATCGAATTTTATCGATCAAGTTACAATGTAGTCACTAGTCTAGGTGGCTCGATATCGTATGTACTATGTTGAGATGTAAAATGGTGTTGGGAGGTGGTCGACAGGAAACCGTGGACCTAGGTTTAGTACTATTTCGCACTCTGTACAACCCAGTGATACATCGGTGAGACTAAAATTTATGGACAAACCAATCATGTATAAGATAACAGGTCTTGGATTTTGGCGCGAAATTTACTCGTCTATTCGGCTAAATAGATTCATGGCATTACAGCTGATGTCAGTTCGTGATGAGAACCATAAGTATAATTTCTAACCTTGACCATCAGTCAGTCAGTCAGTCCGTAACAACGTGGAACTTCATACCTACGTACATAGGTTCGAGTTGCCACACCACATTAGCACAGAGATACAGTTGTCGACTCAAATTTCGTAGTGGTAGAGGTAGTAAGAGTATAAGCAGTAATCGGAAACATTAGGGCTTGAAGGTGTTATTCAACGTGTATAATCCGGTGAAATAAATTTGGAAAGAGAAAAAAGGGAAACGAAGAATTCAGAAAATTAGAATTTGGGAGAACACAAAGAGTGGATGCATTTGCGCCATTGCAAACGCTTTTAAGCCGTGTCACTCAGGGTCTCTAAGCGTCGGTTGCTATCGTCTCTCGGATCTCAACCAGGTAGTCTAAACCTACCAACATGATTTCATGGATTTATGCCATGTTTTGGTCTCGCCGCTCCTAGCTTTCTTCCAACCTACTCCTATACCACTGAACATCGCTCGTCGAGGCACTCGGTCGTTGGGCATACGTAACACGTGTCCCAGTCATCTCAACTGATGAAGTTTCACTACTTCATCAATCGATTTTCCATCCTTACTTAGTACCCGTTTCCTAACAACTGTAGTACTTACTCGGTGGTCCCAGGATATACGAGCAATGTTTCGAAGACACCTATGATCGAATACTTGTAACCTAAGAGTATCGACTGCTCTCACCGGCCATGTTTCACTGCCACAAGGTACGACGGAACGAACTGCGGTGCAGTAAACACGTCCTTTGCTTGGAAGACGGATATCTCGCCTACACCATAAATGGCGCAAATTGGCAAAAACTAGTCGAGCCTTCTGTATCCGTGCTGAGATTTCGTCACACACTAGACCGCAATGGCTGATGAGACTCCAAAGATAAGTGAAGCGGTCAACACGCTCAACCATCAACTGTAAATCGTAATTCTGATTCTTCACACATGTCTATAACCCCCATTTGGTTCTGGTTACTAGGTAGACGCTCTCAAGGTGAATCTGGAGTCGCTCAAAGGTCGTCCATAAATTGTAGTCTCACCGATACATCAATTGTAAATACATCCCAGTTGCGGCCTGGATAGCTCAGTGGTAATGTCTCTGACTGTGAAGCTGGCCAACAAATAATCGAATCCACCAAAGGGTAATATTTCTTTCAAAATTACAGGTACATCTTGATGAAGAGTGCCAAACAGTATGAAACCTATATCTAGGATTTTCTGGACTACCTCCCACCACCTCCATACAAACTTGTTGTCATCTATATTGGAATCACATGATTTGTGTTAGATATACGATAGAACAAGTTTATTATATTAAACTAGGTTATACATGGATTCTTGAAGCAGTAGACAAGTGATACTATTTTAGTTTTGGGCTCATCTTAATACTTGAAATCTAACATAGAACTTTGGGTTTCGCGACGAGTGAGATCTCCTCATGTATTAAGTGCAAGTAAATCGTATATTGAACCATGAGCTACATTTTAATTGTTTTCGAATGCTAACGATACTTTCCAATGATTGAAATCAACATAGATGGTGTAAAATTTGAACCTATAACTAAACCCATTTTGAAAAAAACTGGTAGCTTTTTAATGACTAAATCATTATTCTTTGAGGAACTTTGAGTTATAACAAGTGATTGAATGTATTCAATATATAATCGAAGTTTTCATAAATGATGATTTTAAAAAGTAATATATGAATAGATATTTAAATAAAACATACTTGAGTATAACCAACATTATAACCACCTTTCTTTGCATATAATTTAACTAAAGAAATTGTTGTAGCTAATGAAACAAACGATACAATGATTGATTCCATTAAAACTTCTGGTACTAGTCGAATATCCGGTAATACGGGTGATGGTAAACTTCAGAATATAAAAAAATAAATTAAACACTATTTTAAGCCAAAAGTGAAATATGTAACTTATGAGTTAAAGTTAGTTCATAGTTATATAATATGCCCTTGTGGGTAAGGGTAATTTTATATTGGTTTTTCAAGAGAACCAGACTTCATCCAGAATTTCGCGTGACAACTCGAACACTACAGCACAATCCTGTTTATCAGGAGAGCCAGACACCTCCCAAGCAGTACAGCTCAGTCCCGCTTCACAGGAGAACCAGACACCAGATAGGCTTTAACGCTACAATCAGAATAGTACAACTCAATCCTGTGGCGCAACCATACAAGTATCAAACACCCTGGTGGACCATTCGCACCAATCATATACACATTCACATAACATGTATAATTATTTCGATCAATGATAGCGTGAATCAATTATGCACAGCACGAACTTGCCAAAGTTGACCTATTCCGCTTACACGACAGTCAACCCATTAATGTTAGCAATGGCGACATGCCTTACAATGTCCCAATGACAATGGCCCTTGAGAACACTGAAAAGCAACCAGCAGTATGAATGAAATCGGTTAAGCAGCAAAACTTGCCAAAGCAATGCCGAACCATCCACAATATCAATGGCGAACCTCCAGTCTTATATGAGACATTCAGCTCTATATAGCAACATATATAATATGTAACTTGTTACCGAAACATTTAAATGAATACATTAAAACAATGTAATGCAACTCATTTTAGAAGTACAATGTTATACATTCAACTTTAAATTATATTTTATGTAAAAATTAATTATACTATTTAGCTGCTAAAACCAAAGCGGACGAAGAATGAGGTTTGGAGCCTATAACCTCAATAGATTAAAGAGGCATAAATATATCATATGCCTAAACTTCCTTCCTATTTTAAGGTCAAAGAGCAAATGACAAATTATAAACATGGTATGCTATTTGAAGAAATTGATTATGCACTTGATTAAGGTCTCGTATTACGTGTCCTTATCTCTTAACAGGAGGAATAATCGTATACATATTTATGATATGTGTGTATTAAGATTAGGTTCAGTAATTAGATCTCCTTATAAATTACAGTCATCATAGTAGGTTTGGTTTAAAGTAGGTAGTATATATTGTAACCATATCAGATAGTAGAATACTACAGATATTGTTATTGAAATTTCAGGCATTTTTATTCATTCATATACATCTTATTCTGAAGTTAGATGCAAAGCAGTTTAGTGAATTAGACTGTTTCTAAGTTCCTATTCTTCTAGCATATCATATTCTCCTTACTTATATATCTGGATTAACAACCCTATTGAAAAAATATATATGGAAGCCATTTTTAAAAATATAGGAAAAACAAAAGATAATTTCATAGAGATTTCAACCTGTTGAAAGATTCGACAGAACAACAAGATGAATAACACTTACAAACTTCAAGCTTTCAGACTGCTCAAAAGATATTAGACCATCAAGTTAACATAGAATGATACACATAACTAACTGTAATTAATCTGTAAAAAGGTCAACTTCATTCAATGCTACTATTGATAGAAGGCTTAACTATCACATTTTCAGTTCATTATATCCATGTGGTGAACTTTTCACATGAATACTAATATAACTAACTCCTTTTATCCTATTTTACAAAAATCAACATTCAAATAGGATTGGTTAAACACAGGATAGTTTTGATTGTTAAATAGATATATATATTTCTTTGATGATTTTAATTTTGTTGATTACCCTGAAGAAGTTCAGATAAGTTAGTTGGACGAAACGTTCCAGCTTTTTCTTAACACCTTAACAATTTACATAGTTCAAATAATCTTACTGCGTAATTTCTTTAACCTTTAGACTAACCAGTAAAATTACATAATCACTTTTTTTATTACAATTTTAGGTTGTTTGTATATAAAAAAGGGGATACAGTTTAAAAGTTGTCTTTTAACATTTTTGCACCTTAGTGAAACATAAACTAATAATAATAATAAGAGGGAATCAATTACATTTGCTTTTAGCATCCCGTTTGATCTGACTCCATTTATATTGTATGTGTGTTTGTTATCGCCTTTTCTCGTTTATCATCGTCGACTTAAATCGCGTTATCCAATAACGGAATTAAATAAGTCGAATAACGAGAATTGACTTGAGAATACATATATTTCGTACATGAAGCGAATGAAGCATAGCAAAGCAAAATGACACGTATGGAAGATGGCTGGGAAGCCAACTCCATTTTAGTTAAGCGTTACCCAATATTTATAGTCAGACAAAATAAAGCTACAGACATGTGATTAATGCGATAAGAAGGGCACACACCTATACGCTCATATAAAAACAGTCTAGATTGATAAACGAATAAATAACAAGGTCAATGTATGGCTCAAGTAAAATGAATAGAATGGGATGTCCGAAAGCTTGAATAAGGTATATGGGCTTGGCATAATAACTGACACTACATGCTATCGATTCTTATGTTCTAGTTTCAGATAATAAGAACTAGTTTCTTTCATCTTTTCAAATTAATTATTCTGATATATCAGAAGGGGATTTGTGGAGATTTTTCAATAGTTGAAATCATGAGCCAATTTAAGCTAGATCATCAGGTAAAACCTGGAAGCATTGAACGGCAGTTTCCTTCTAGTATGAAACTCCTCGGCAGTACGTATCCACGATCTTATTTAGAAAAGTTTCTTAAATCACAGCAAAAATACTTCACATAAAATGGAATCCGAATTGTCTGAATGATAATGAGGGGTTCAGGTACAGCTTAACCTGTATACAAAACCTCTCATCCACCAAAAGTGTCAACACAAATATGGTGAAAACGTTTTTTCGCCACGTCAATATATGCTATTTTTAGAAACTATAGACTTATGAATGCAAAAGTTAAGTGTTTGAAACAACACTGCACACATGACAGTAGAGATGATAAACTGTAGGTATCAATATCAATAACGTGCGAATAAAACATTCACAGATGAAATATATATCTGCTCCAAAATTCAGTAGCGATGATTTACTGGATAACACTATGACATTTGAAGTGAAAGTTACTATGTTAGAGTCACTGTATAAACATTAGTAATGGGATGAGGTTGGTACATCCAGCTGATGAGTGGCAAATAGGACAAAATCAACATCCTGATTTTTGTTGTTAGTCACTATTCAACTTTAATAAGAACCTTACAAATAACGTCAATAACAATGTATATTACCACATATATAAACACAAAATATATTTCATTAAAACGCACCCTACAGGAATTTCACCGACAATCGACACCCCATAACGTTGATTTAATAGACCAAATTTTGATATAACAGTACCAGCAGTAAGCTAAAAAGATGATAAATAGATTATATCAACCATAACAAAGATATAATGAAATAGTCATTTAATATCTTACTCTTAACTACACTGACTACATAGATTTCACTAAGTTTAAGAATTTCCATTATATGGATGAAGATGTTCCGGTGGAGAAAATTTTCTTTTTAACGATATCATTTTCTAAAGATGTACAATTGTATGTAGTAGTTTACATGTAAAATAATGGAGTTTTATAAGTATCATCAAAGACAACCAAACTTATTCAAATGGAAGTCAATGAAAATGAAGTGATGTTGCACAATATAATCAAGATTATCCAGAGAATTTATGCATTGAATATAATAATTTATAAATGGGAGTGTTATTTCAATGTAATTAGAGTTTTTAAGTATGACATGAAGAGAGGGTTGCATAATCATTAACAGTTTAAGTTATTTAATAGTTTTGAAAGGAATAAAATGTGATAACCCATAGAATATAAACTAAAAACAACAGTCTACTTTATAAAGAATGAGAAGGTAATATTCAACACCCATATTTTGTGGGATTCAAAAGGAAAGAAAGACCATGGAAGAATAAGGGATTGAATATGGCTTTTTTTTACACAGAGGTCGAGTTTGAAATGGTGAATTGCTATAGCCTCAGCTGTGTACGAATTCCTCATCCAAACCTTTTTTGAGTCGGTTTTTTACTCTGAGGTGGATTTTGAACGACCCACGTGGTGGACTGTGACTCAAGTCAACCATGTACTCAAGGACAGAGCTATTGATCGGTTTGCATTCCCCTTGAGATGGCCGTGTAGGATACTTACTTATGCCCTCATGGAGGAGCATAGGCCGCTCACTAGAATTCTCCATCCAACCATGTCCTGGGCAATCCTTTCCAGTTGCTATTCATTCTTCTGGTGTCTGCTTCCAATACCCGACGCATTGTGTTCTTTGGCCTTCCCCTTTTTCGTTTCCTTTCAGGATTCCAAGTCAGTGCTTGCTTCGCGATGCAGTTTGATGATTTCCTCAATGTGTGTCCTATCCACTTCCAACATCTTTTCTTAATTTCCTTTTCAGCTGGAAGTTAGTTTGTTGTCTCCCACAGTAAAGCCATGTAGAATAGTGTTCAAATATTCATTTATCAAGTGCACGCTTAGTACGGCATATAAAACCTGCTCCATAAGACGAGGTAAACTTATAAATGCACGTTGAGGTGGCCAAGAGCGGCAGTTTATCCTTGAAAGTTCCATGAATGAGTTTCCTGCTGGAGAAAACAATTCGAATCTCTACTGAATAAAAAGTATTTCTCAGGGATCTAGACAGTTTGTTCATTAATATATCAACTACCATATCTCCCCTGAATTCAACATTCAAAAATAAAATTTACTTCACCAGTGTGGGAGTACTTCTAATTTGACGTATTGCTTTTAGGTTGCCATCAATGAAATTGAATAGTGAACCATTCTCTAAGTTTTCATCCGGCTATATCTAGCTCATCATCAACTGTGCCTTTAGTGCATATTCGTCTGGCTCTTGAAGATAAAGAATGGATAAAATTTCTCGTCCTGCTCAGCGGCAACCAACTCTGGGAATTCGTATACTGCTCTTTATAGGTTGGCTTTCTGTACACCAATCATTGCAGAGATTCACTTGATCTTCATTTCAGTAGAACATCAAGAAGGTGGAATTCCGAATTCAGCTCCGATTCTATTGTGAACGTAATCGAGTGGTAACAATTATAACTGAGACGTATATACAAACAATTACCACTGGAGTAGTGAAACGACGAATGCTAGAACATCATTGGAGACCTGGAAAAAATTAGACACTCATTTCGTCCTAGAACCTAACTCTTCGGTAGTGCGCAACCGCGATCCTGAAGACGAGAGTCGAGTCCAATACCTTCCGTCTCACGTGTGAACGCTTAACATCTAGACCACTGAGCCAACAGCCAAAAGTGTCAATATACAACTTCAATCAAGCTACGGTATCGCACAACCGTATTCCATTTATTTAGGTGGGTAATCGCCTCACACCTAAGATAGATTATATCCACTGTTCATGCCTTGTCACTAGAACTCCGGGAATTTCCTCTCGAAGCCAGTCATTAATGAGCACATAACTGTTATCAGTATAGAGAATTTGTAGAGATTGTTGAGTTTTATTGAAATCATAATCCAATCTATGTTAAGCGTTCGCATGCTGAACCGATGGTACTAGGTTTGATTTCAGCGTTCAGAGTTGTGGATGCTCACTGCTAAGGATTCCTATACTAGGACGAAACGACCGTCTAGTACTTCCAAGTTTTCAGTGGCGGTCTAACCTAGACTCGTTCATGATTTCAATGTAACTCAACAATCTCCACCACCCTATACATACGTTTACGATTGATTCGATTATGTTCCTTTAACATAGCTAAAATGAAAGGCAAGAAGTTTCCCAGATGACAACTGTATCCAAAAAATCAACATTGGGGGCTGTATATTTATAAATTCATAATTATAGCATCATTATTGACCGGCACAAGGCATACATGAATAAGTTGTAAGTGAATTAGACAACATTATATGATAACTAATTCACCATTACATCGATTACGGTCTAAATATATAACATAGGCCAATTTCAAAACGTCATTTAATAAAGGGTTATGAAAATTAATTGTAATGTATTCACTAACAATCAATATAAAAATATCATGTGAGGGTAATTCATAAACATATTCGGAGATATCTTATATAGGATTAATTGAGATTATAGTCATGATAACAATGATAATAAAGTAATGTGAATATTTAGGAGATTTATTCATTTAAACACAAAAATATTAATACGGAATAGCACTAAAATATACATTCGCCACACAGAATTCATGTGGGGATAGGGTTGTTGCCTGGTTGACCAAACCAAAGCAGGGGGTTCTTTAAGGGGGCACTCTCTGAGCATTTGGCCTACAAGTCTAATCTACAAAACATTGGCGCAACATTAGAAGGTACGGATCCTATAGTACCCGGTGACCAACAATAGGCTGGATCCTGGAGCCTATGTGCAACATTGCTTTGGAATCGTATTTCTCCAACTCCCCGAGGTAGATCCTCTGTATCCACCAACGCGGTCTAAGTGCTGGACATTCGCTTATTGTTCTCTCAATTTCGTAAACAACACCCCAGCCGCGAGAAGGCAATAAATACGAAATCCCTGGCAGCGGCTATATGCACATCGCATATGAGAGCATTTGTAGAGGAAAAATAAACACTCCTCACCTATGGCCGTTCCAGGGCATTTGGTGGAAAACGAAGTGTTTCCAAATTAATTAGAATAGTAGTGATAAGAAATGTCTAGTGTTGATCTGAACTCTAATGGAATAAACATAGGGAAATTCGGAACTTCCATAACGTTTTCAGATTATTATCCACATTTTTTATTGTTTAAATAGTAAATAACTGTATTATTGAATTTATATATTCCCCTTTATTGTAAGCTTTCATCGGATTCACCAACTATAGCTATATGTTTTACTGTCCCTTAGTTATTGTTGATTAATCATGTGCTCTTTGTTTCTAATACTTATGGTATAACTGTGACTGTAGTATAAATTTTTAATGGGTATGTTGTGTGATCAGTTATTTTAAGTTTATTATGTATGCCTTTTCAGTCATGATTAAATTGAGAACGATAAACAACTAATCTGATTACTTACTGAGTTAAGAGGAGTGCGAGGACCTAAAAGCGTGCTATTCGTTCGTCGGTGTGTCAATCGGTAAATAGGTCACTAATCCTATTGAGAATATAGATGATTGTTGAAATTCAGATTGATGGATTTAACATGTAGTAATCGACCAGTGTACATAGTGATATATTTCAACGGTTAGCTGAAGTGGTACAAATCCACGATATACAAAAAGAGATAACATCTCAAAAAACCTAAATTTTAGCGAATAGTTTCATAGCAGCTGGGTGCTAAGTTAATGTAATCCAAACTTTTTCAATGAAATATAACTAAATATCAAAAGTATCGGATATGAATAAGTACATGATTCTCTGGTTAACTGTATAATGAATAGTTCATTCAGTCTTATTAACAATATTGAAAGTAAGTACTTGCTGTATTGCCCTATAAGACATTTGATATGTAAAGAAAAGTATGTTGACAATAACTATTTATCGCCTCTGATCAGTAAATTTTTGATGAGAAAACGAACAATTTTATAGATGATATCAGTTAAACATGTCACAGCATGCATGAAATGTAAAGAAAAGTAAAAACAGAAAGCATAAATATTTGTGTTGACAAAGTTGACTGTTCATGAAACATTCAGATAAACTAAGATTAGAACAAGTTTTCATTGTAGTTTAACATAATAAACGATTGATTAAAATTTACTTATGACTAATTAACAACAACAAAAAAATAAACATGGATTGGTTGAAGTTAGATATTAACACCGTTGAATACCAGCTGGCTCAGTGGTCTAACGGTTAAGCGCTAGAGCGCGAGACTGATAGGTCCTAGGTTCGAACCTCGTGAGGCGGGATCGTAGATGCACACTACTGAGGAGTCCCATACTAGGACGAAACGGCCGTCCAGTGTTTCCAGGTTTTCTCTAATGGTTTAGCTTCAAGTGACTCAGAAATTCAATCATTAAAAAATAAACTTACTTTCTCAAACTTACCACAATTAATTCAATTGGAATTGTAAAGCGTAGTATAGCTGAAACTTTTGGATTGATAAAATGTTTAAAACACCATATAATTGTAATACATATCATTGATATTAATAATGTAACAAGATTAGTTTCTTTGATGATATGAATAAAATTATTAATTATCTAAATAAATAAACAAAAATAATACATGATAAACAAAAAATTTAAAAAAAAAGAATTTCTCCATAGAAATTTTCATAAAAGGAATTCATCATTGACTTTAGTCACTAAGTCAGTCAGTCACCTATAGTGTACGATCGGATACATATATGCATCGGTCTAAGTTGCCATACTTCATTAACACAACAAGATGAACACTGAATTCATAGAAGTAGTGAGTTCAATGGTGGTAATGTATAAAAAGAAAGATTGTATATAATGATATAGTACAGGAAGAAAGAATTAGTTGGTAGAAAAAAAGATATAAGGCTACCTCCCGACCGTTGCTGCTACCTTGACGTGGTGGTCGGGCTTGCCTATCGTGATGAAGCAACCAAGCTATACTGACTGGAACAACTGTTCCTCAAGGTCCTACCACGTCAGAAAGGTTGGTTGAAGAGCGGTAAGACTAAAAGCAACAAACCCAAGGTCCGAAGGCGAAGTCGTACTGCTGACTGTACAGAGGTGTGACAGCAGTAAGGTGTTTCCTTCAGACAACCAGCATGACAGCGATGCTGCCTTCCCACAAGAAGGGGCGAGGTTAGAAAAGGTCGACCCTAAAAATGCACACCTCGCCTTATCCCACGGATATCCGTCTCCGGCGGTAAGGTCTCAATAAGTACGGAGCTAACACAAAAATCACCCATAAAAAGGTCATGTGTAACCGACCTCAAGCAGTTGTCCCTTGGGCACTGCGGTCACGCTCTCAGGTCACTAGAACCACTACTAATCCGATTTCCTTTTCAGGTACCTCCAGAAGAACCTTTCCAAGGTGTGGGCAACCGGGAAGTGATAACCACCCTCATACCTCTAACAGCACTCAAGACCACTGTATTCATAATCAACCTCCGTCTTCAGTTCCTATTATTCCTCCTACATCGACTTCAAACTCTAAACTTCTTTTTTCGGCTTCCCCCTCAAGTGTCACCATAGCCAACGATTCTAGTGCTCAAAACACTCAAATGAATGAATCTACCGTTATTTATCCTATTGAAATGATTTATGAAGATTTAGTTAATTTGAAGTTACTATTTATAAGAATAAATGGAATAATTGTTATGATTTGTTATATCTGAAGAACATAAATATATGGGTAAGTTCCAGGAGCTATCTATAAACTGACATGAATATTCGTCAAGATTAGAACGAATAGTTTGACAGAAATCGGGCGCCGAGCATAAAGAAGTCATTATATGTGAAAATTATATTTCAAATATTCTCAGCGATTGAAATTTAACTAATTCCAACGTTTCATCCAGCTAACTTGTCTGGGCTTCTTCAGGGTAATAATCAAAATCATCAAAGAAATATATAGCTTTTAACAATCAAATCTATACTATGTTTAACCAATCATATTTGAATGTTGATTTTCGTAAAATAGGATAAAAGGAGTCAGTTAACTACGAATCACATGAAAAATTCAACTAGATGGAAATATCAGTTTACGGGTTGTGGAGATTGTTAAGTTTTTGACTGAAATCATGAACCGATTGATGATAGACCACCATTAAAAACATGGAAGCACTGGACCGCCGTTTCGTCCTATTGCAGGACTCCTCAGTAGTGCGCATTCACGATCCCGCTCGAGGAATTCAAACCCATGGCCTTCAGTCTCGAGCGCGAACGCTTAACCTACTGGACCACTGAGCCGGCATTCAATAGTGTTAATGTTCAACCTTAACGAATCCATCAATCCGTCCAGTGCTTCCAGGTTTTCAATGGTGGTCTAACATCAATCGGTTCATGATCTCAATCAAAAACTTAACAATCTCCACAACCCCTAAACTGATACATGAAAATAATTAACTGAATAATAAATTGTATGTGTGTGATTGTGTAGGTATGTATGTATGTGTGAGAATTAATCATTGATATTCAGTGGTAATATGTTATATATGAAGGAATAAATAAATAAGTAAAAGTGCACGTTCAAGGTTGAAAAATGGTTTCTGAATCATCGATGTGCATGTCAAATTTAGTAATCGAACAAATACATAATTTCACAGATTGAAATCATGAGTTAGTTGAAGCTAGACCACCATTGAAAACCTGGAAGCACTGGACGGCCGTCGCGTTATCCACTCAACTACTGAGTCCTGAGAGACACTTGCTTGTGCAATGGGGTTAATTTAAATTCACTTGGTATTGTTTTACTTGTATCTTCCCATTGAGGTTTAAGACTGCAATTGACCATTCTGTGATTGGCATATGTGCATACTCTGTGTATGCCTCGATATTGCCTTAACTCACAAGCTTTTATAAGTAAAGATGGATAGTGGCTGGATGGATATCACTCGAAAACTTTCAAACCTTCAACTAAATGTTGGTATTGTGGCGCGTCACATCAAAAATTTACCGGTTTAAAAACCGTAGATGCACCATATGCATACGCATAAACCAGTACGAACAGCCTAGAGTCAATTCTGAGTCTTTGTTAGTTCTTCTCTCCTAGCCCTACCCGTCAGACATATGCAGTTTCTATACAAGCGAAAAAGACCGCATCACACCATAAATATAAAATAACAAATATACAAAATCGAGCCAAAAGTGGTTGTGAGTGGGTGAAACTGTAACTAATAAATTGGGAATATCTTAAGAATAGTAAGTCATATGATAATGATCAATAGATCAAATAAAAGCTTATAGTAAAAGGAAGGTATTAATTTCGACCGCAACGCGTAAACGGGCACTGCCGAGGAGTCACAAACGAGGACGAAACGTCCGTTCATTGCTTCCAGGTTTTCAATGGTGGTTTAGCTTAGGTCGACCGGTGATTTTAACTGCGAAAATACTACAATCTCAAAAAATCACCTAAAGTAATTTTCGTTTACTTAGCGGAAGTCGTTTTATATGTTATACACTATTTTATTACTAGTTTGTCTTAGTCTAAAATATTGAAGGAATAATTCTTGTTTCCGTAAATCTATGTTCTTGCCAGTCACTAATTTTGAGAGGTAACCTCTTGAATCATAGTGAGAAGCAGTGGAGCTCAATTACGTTGGGAGGGAGCCAGCCGTCTAATAACGATTGCGTAATACTGTGAATTAAGAATGTAAACTGTTGGATACCAACTTAATTGTTTAAATGTTAATTAAAGGCAGTTAGCATCAAAGTTCTTTGAATTCGATTACAGTCATTGAGAGTTCCATGCTGAAACGAAACAAATTTTAATAATCACCTAATAAAAGTCAGTATTCAAATATGGAACTTTAGAAAACCATTTAACTAAAACCCCGATAATTGAAATGTACTTTTAAGTAATAAGTCACAATATGTTATTTCAAAGACCAAGATATATCAAATAAAAACGGTCATATATTTTGAGACTTACATAAAAAACACGGAAAGGTCCTGTAGCACGATTTAATCGTATACCAAATAATCCATTTAATTGACTAGTGAACACATGAACAGCAGATGCACAAGTGAAGCCACTTAATAATGGTTCCGATATATAAACTACTAATACACCAAGACGAAGAATACCCAAAGCGACCTTGAAACCAGTTATCAGAAATAAGAAGACATTGAAGAGCAACAATAAAAAGAGGATAAAAATTCAGTAACGAGTACATATTAAAGATGAATGAGTAATTTTAGACTTGATAACTTTAAAATAAGAAAAACTACAATAATTTAATAACTACATCATTTTGTATGACAATAGTTTATGAAGTCATTAACTTAAGCAGAGATGGACAGTGGTTAGCAGTGGAATCTAGGATGAGAGTTTCATCCTACTCAGGACTCATCAGCCCGATGCACTCAGCATTGCAGAGTTGATATCCACTCTGAAACTCGAACCTAGTACCGATCACTTTAAGGACTATCGCGTTATCTACTTAGCTACTAAGTTCAGATAGCCACTAGTTTGTGCACTGAGGTGGATTTTAATTCATATGCATATACATCTGGCTGACGAGTCCCAGACGGAAGGAAACGCGCGTCCTGAATTCCACTGCTAGCCACCATTCATCTATGTTCAAAGTGATTGTGACTTAATGACAATATCGGGACAATCCACAAAGGATGAATATATGCCAAAATGAGATTGATCATTCCCAATCTCAAACATTAATGGAAAGATGAAACAAACAATATACATATGAATCAAAAGTCACTAACTGTTTATCCGAGTGATGTTACTAGGTGTACACCACATGCTTTTATAATCTATGTGATAATGATTGAAGATGGATGAAATAGCTAGAAATCAGTCGCAGTGTCGTATATGGATTAACTATTCATCCTACCAGAAATATAAAGTTGCAATATTACTTTATTTCTTTTATTATGCTAGTTCACTCCTTCATTTTGAACCAAATTCTTTAATATTAAGCCTATCTTATCATCACTGATAGAATGAGTATGAGTTCGACACACTCGCTACTTATCTTGCTAGTTGCATCTCGTTCGCTCTACTTGGTGTGAAAAAGAACAAATAAAAATCTCTCCTCGATACTAACTTGGTTACGACTGACTGACATACACTTCTGTCTATATAGTCTAGTGAAATTCACTGGTATTCAGATCAATTGAGTGAAAATAGAAACACTGACATAGATTCAATCACACCAAAAGTCTTCAGGAAAAAAACAATAGTCTAGTTCATTAGTAAACGTGAATATCCAAGTCGAAATTCCTAGTTTGTACCTCTATTATCACCAACAAGTTACCTGATGGTTAACCTCTGATTTGTTAAAAATATATAATGGTAAAGTTTAAATCTAATTGCCATTGTAATGAAAGAAGTCTTGGGTAGCGTTAGCCAATTTATTATTATGTAATATCACACAGTGCATTTGTAAAACATGAACATAAGACATTAAATACACTATTTGCACATCTTCATTGAGTTCCCCCATACAAACTCTTTCATTCTTATTTTTATTTCGACTGCATTGTGTTTTCCTTTCTTTTCTCTTTATTTTCCTCTTCTGTTTGTAAGAACTCTACTTTCAATTACTGATACATACTACTTATTTGTCCGTACAAGTAGCATACATCATGCTACAGCTTCCATAAAGCGTAATAAGGCAGAGTTAATTTGTCTGTTGATAAATTTGGATGCATTCATTTTATCCATTGTTTGACACATGTATAGCAGTTGGCATGTTACCGAAGTACGAAGTTTGTTTTATCCTTAGAGGTGTACATTTTAAGGAATATGTTCAGCAAAATGTAAAAAATCCTGATTTTTTGCTTTTGTATATGCACATATAAACTGATACATGCAGTTGTAGGTGGAATGTGACGCGTATTTATCTTTGTTCGCGTTACTGAGCATTGCGTTGTGTTCAGTGGGAAAGTACTCTTTACAAATCCGCCATTAGTCCTTGATTGATTCTTTTGGTGACTTCAATCACGTTCGAAACCTAATCGGATAATTATGTTTCGTTTCAAGTTTGTAAACGTTCATCTTACTACGGTATTCATTAATGTATTTCAGTGTAAACATTTAAGGGCAGCCATTTTCTCGAGGACAACTATCTACTACTGAAAAAACCTCCCCTCGAGCTTCTTTTCCTGGCTCCGTGGTAGAGCATTTCCATCAACCCATATTTAAAGTTTATAGATCAAACTTTTAAATATTGCTGACCCCAGGTTTATTTCTGATGTATACTACGTTTGTCAGGTTTTATCAATTCTCCAAGAAATGGAAAGAATTATTTCATTCACCTTCCATTGTGCATTCGATATCACGATGGACTTTATAAAATTTTCGAGTGCCTCATTTATTTCGTTACAACACACAAAATGTAGTCTCATTGATAGAAGACAGTAATTTTGTCCTTTCAAAATTTTTGACGAAGATATCGTCAAGGACTGAGCTTTCCATCTGTTTAAGCTAGAAATGAATGTGTTTTGTCCATAGTTTTAGTAACTGATTGAGGTGAGAATACAAATTATGAACGATCTTTGTGCAACGCCAAAAATAACTTTGGAATGTCCACCTATTTACTAGGGTTAAATGAGGATTATAGATTAGTGTGAGGAATTAGAATTTACAGTTAGACGTTAGGATTAAGAATTAGATTTAATGTTTTCATCACAAACTGACATCAGTTATAATGCCAAGATGATATTTAACCAACTGAGCGAATTAATTTCGCACCAAAATTCAAGGCCTGGTATCTCAAATCTGATTGGTTCATTCATAAATTATCGTCTAGCCAATACGTGGTAATTAGCACAAACAATTATCTTCTGTTCTAAGACCTCTCTAAGTTATTTAGTAACTTTGTTTTATGATACTGAAGCTTTATATTCGTTTGAATATTCGGCTTTGAATTTATTTTGATCTTTTAGAATTATGGTGATTTTACACATATATTTATATGTACTCATCATCAACACAACTTCATAGCATTTATCTGGTTTGATTAGTACTAAGTTGTCATAATTTTGGAAGTTTCTCAAGGAGTTAAAACGGGCTCTAGTCATGATTTTGGACTGAAGGGATGGTGTAGTGTGGAAATGATTACCAATGTCAACTAGATTTAATTTGAACTAACTACGTTTGTTTTCATTGAATGATATATGTTTGTATATTTGAACTTCTGTATCAATTCTATTGGTAGATTTGTGTTGAATGAGAAAATGGAAACAAAGAGATAAAGTTTTAGACTAACTTTTCTTCAGTTTTGTTCTAGATAAGGTTGACCTAAATCGTTTGAATATTCTCCAATCATTTTCACAATCATCACACCTTTAGATAATGATGTGTAGGTTAGATTAGCTGTCTTCAACTGACCAATTGTATACAACATACAACGTTGAGTTCTTCAACTAGTTTCTTGCATCAACTAGCAATTGAAGATCACCGATTATTTTATTTGAAGAATCAAGATGAAATTTGGTGAAACGATGGAGATTTACGAGAGAAAGGAGAAAATAAATTGATTGAAGAGTTCTGCATAATTGGTTGTCCGAACCTGTGTAGCGGGAGAACCTGGGCCAGATTCTAAACTCCTTATAACTGACCGAGTAATCGGCGTTTATCTAACTAATTACGTTAGTTTCAAGCATGAAAACCACACAATTCACAAAGCGATTCGCTAACGTTTGTATAGATAACACCTTTCTGTGTTGTTCAAATGTAACAAAGAAACGTGTGTTGATTTCATTAAACAGCCAACTTGAATAAGTGGTTAGATAATCTCCAACTGAACGGGAACTTATTGGTGTGATTTTTAAAATAATTTCAAACTATTCACAGAACTACTTAAGCAAATAATACTCGTGTTCTCACTAATGACTATCAGATTTGATATGGATTTATCAAAGTTCTGATGGAAACCCATGATTTGTGAGGTTGGTCTGTTTTAGTATGAAGTTATCTTCCAGACATCACCGGATACAAATCAAGTCACATAGAAATCGTATTTGGAAATAGGATACCAACTCAGAAGACGCTTAATGGTTTTATTCTCGACACTAGACTTATTTGTCGTAAAGTCTGAACCCATACTAACTTCACATTGCTGATCTCTGTATCATGCTCTTCGGTTTTCAGTAGTTTTCCACTTAATGCCAGTTTGCAGTAGAATTAACCGTTTTAGTTAATCCCTGAATTCCATAAATTCAGTGGTATTATAACAGGGTTTTTTGAAGTAAAGGTTTTGTATATTCTGTATTTAAAATGAAAAGAATTTCAATTCCTTATGTTACTTATCTCTTAACATTACAAACAAAAACTATGCAATTATTCAGCGTCCTCCATATCTCACCCTATAGTACATAACTTAAAGTAAGTCCAAATTCCTTTCAGCACATTTACTTGGAGGTAATTTTTAGCGTTGTGGAAGACTAAGTCCGTAAACACAACATTTTGCTCTTACTGGAAACTTTAATATATAGGATATAGTGAAGTATTACGCATTTACTCCACTACTGTTCTTCAATATATACACCAAATCTGATTGAACAATACCAATCATTGATTAATAAGGAAAAAATGAAGGATGTTGAGAATTTTATCATTTATTTCAGAATCAATTGGAAATTAGTAGGAATTTTGAGACAGTTTTCATCACAGATTGATCATTGAGAATTAGGGAGTAGTAGTGCACAGACATTTCATTCTAGATTGGGAAACTACAATAGTGTGCGCTAACCTTATCTCGATTGCTTATATTTATTTATTTGAACACATAGATATTGGTACAAAGAGGCACCACATACATATGTGCCACACAAATTTCATTTGTTTTGTGTTAGGGCCGGGATACTGCCCGAGTGCCCAAACTGAAGCAGGTGGTTTTCTTACGGGGCCACACCCCGAGCCTTCGACCTAAATGTCTGATCCACAGGCAGTGGAGCAACGTAAAGAGATGCAGTTCCGTGGTAGCCGGTAACCAACGATTGGTTCATACGCCTTTTGTTCCCGCAGAATACTGGAGCCCATGTGCAGCGTTGGTTTGGAATCAGAGTTTTCCTACTCCCCTAGGTGGATACTCCATATCCACCAACTCGGTTAAAGCGTCGGAAATTCGCTTTTCGTCCTCTTAATGTCGTAAACAACACACCCACCACGAGAAGGCAGTGAGTAGGACTTCCCTGGTAGAGGCTATATACGCGTGGCTATGTGAGAGCATTCTGAGAGGGAGAGCGAACTCGCCGTACTCTCTGGGGTAACCAAGGCATTTAGGGGCAATCTTATCTCTACAATAAACCAAATAAGCAACTATATTAGGAGCAACACAGCTATCATTGAACTTACTATACGTACATCATTCTATACCACGGACTGAATGAAGGTAATAATGTAAATGGCGCTTGCTACGAAAACTAAAGTCACTAATTTTGGTTCTAAGCAAGAACGTTCGTGGGCGCTAATTGATGAATTCCTGTTCACTTGTCTTTGGTTTGGAATAGTTCCCTAATTCACACAAATTTAGAATCTCAAAAGGGAATTAGTTAAATAGAAAGGAAAATTGGGATTCCATTGGTGATTAAGTATTTGAAATTCATAGGAATAAATTTTTCAATGTTCACTATAAAATATATACGTGATAATTATCATAAGATTATAAATATAAATTAATTAAACTCACTTGAAATAATCCAGTCAAAATACATACTGTTATAACAACAGTTAAACGAAAATCATCTATTTGTTTTTCATTAAAAATATCATATTTTTCTAAAGAATGATTGTTTACATCGAATAATGATGTTAATCTATCAACAGGATCAGCCGTTAAAAGTGAAACAACAGAAAATGTACCTATAAAAGTATAGAATTTCAATGCATTTTATATGGTAAATAGGTGATATTGAAAAGAAAATTTATTTATATTCTATGATCTTATAAATCGTCAAAAAATAAAATATCTTATAATCGGATTGGTTGAAGTTAGACATTAACACCATTTGATGCCAGCTAGCTCAGTGGTCTAGAGGTTAAGCGTTCGTACGCGACACCGATAGGTTTTGGGTTCGAATCTCGCGCACTGCTGAGGAGTCTTTTACTAGGATGAAACGACCGTCCAGTACTTCTAGGTTTTCCATGGTAGTCTAGCTTCAACTGACTCATGAATTCAATTATCAGATTATGCATATAATAATTATGCAATGGCTAGGAGTACAAAAAGGATGTACAACAAAGACATGTTTGTAAAAAAACAACCATTCGGAGTATGAAGCAGTGAAAAAAAATGATCAGAGTGAATAACTTCTTATTGTGTCTTCTAAGATCTAGTATTCCTTAGACATACCTATTTTACTTAACTAGTCCCAGATTAAAGCACGATTTGGAAACAAACAAAAATATATTTCAGAATTCAAAATAATATAAGTTGATGTAGTAAGGACGTTCATGTATTTATAAAATTTACATAGGAATACTCCAGTGATTTTTCCAGATCATTTGGTAGCGCTGATTAGTTTAATAATGAACCAATCATTAGCTTTCAACTACAATATGAATGAATCACGATTCTATCCTGTTAACAGTTTTAATCCCTGTTTCAGTTTGGTCACCTGGGCAGTATTCCAGCCCACACATAAATCGAATGATTTATGTGGCGCATATCTATTTGGTGCCTCCTTGTATTAGGTAATGATGGTAAATCAGTTGATGAGGTTATGAATCTTCATCGACTGAGATGGTTGGGCCACGTGTTACGTATACCTGAACACTGATTACTACAACATCAATGCCGACTAGTGTTGATGATGGTTGAAAGAAAGTTAGGGGCGGCCAAACCAAAACGTGGCATCAGTGCTTGAAGACACTAACTTCTAGTCTGAGCCATGTTGGTAGATGCAGACTACTTGGTTGGGGTCCGCGTGACTTTCGTAACCAATGGTTGGAGACTCTAGGTCACATGGCTCAGAGTTGATCACAATGGCGTCGGTGTATACACTCCCTGTCTTCTTTCAAACTATGAAATTAAAATCGCTTCATATCTTTCTTTCTACGAACCAATTCTTTCTTCTTGTAGTATATCTCTATATTCAATCTTTCTCTTATATATTACCACCTTTGACCTAACCACTGTTATGAATCCGGTGTTCATCTTGTTGTGCTGATGCAGTATGGCAACCTGGACCGATGCACATATGTGCCTAGTCCTACGTTGTAGCTGACTGACTGACTGATCTCCTTGTACCAATGTTTATGTGTTTAAATAAATAAATAAACAATTTTAATCACCAGATGGTGAGTTCAACGGCTGGCTGATATATTCGAGTTCAAATAGCTCAGTAGTATATCTAACTATCATAAAAAAAGTTGTCGCTTAAAGACGGGTTAATTAATTTTTACTGGATAAACAAATCATATTCATTAATGAGTGACTATGAACTAACAACTTGGTTACAAATAATTTTATAAAGTTCCAAAATCAATCGATGAAAAGTCTAACATAAATAACCAAATGACATAAACTCTATTATAATTTAAAAAAACAAACATGATAACATAAAATGTAACCATGATATTAAAGTTATTTAATTGATCCTTTTATGTAAGATTATACTTCCAAAAGTAGTATTAAAACCTTTACGATAGACGAAATTTATTTTTTTGTCAAATTTTCTATATTTAAAAATTTTAATAACATCTATAGAACATGAGTGGTGTATACCTTTGATCGGTTATAACCATCCCACTGAACTTTGAGTATTGAATATAATACAATACACAAAATGGTAAGTAGTAATTGAATTAGTATCCTTAGATATATCATCCCTTTTATATTGACGCGACTCAATTAAATAAAAAGGGTCATGTTCAAAAGTCCCAATACTAACCATTTTGAAAAGAAGTAAAGGGTATAATATATTTATTTTCCAGGTATGAATTCGTATTCGACTTTAAAAAACATCACTTATATATGAGGACTGATGCAAATACTCAGCTGTTAAAATCAAAATTTAAGAAGAGCGTCACATTTCAGGTCTATAGGTTGAATTACAAACCCTTTATCATTGACCTGCTGTTCAGCAAGAATATGTTACAATTGGTATAAGTGAACCATGGAAAAGAAAGCAATAGTGAGTAATTATCACGAAATGTTGAGTATCAGACAAAGTTCATGGAAGTCACAAGGTCAAAGCCCCTTCTGGCAATCAGACCAACAGTTAATATAGGTACACGGAAAGTCCATACAATATGGGGGATCTGGAGGATCAGTCAAATAGCTGTGGAAATGAGCAGATACAACATGGAGGCTTTCGGCATAAGTGAAACCAATTAGACTCAAGCTGGACAGAAAACATTAGATTCGGAAGAGAGGCTGTTGTACTGAAGTTATCAAGAATAAAATGCTTTGCACACACTGAGTTGCATTGATGATGTACAGAGAATCAAGAAAAGCATCCATAGGATAAAAGTTTCATGTATCCAAAATCGTGAATGTATCCTCCAAAACAAAGTAGAGGACCACAATGAATTTTATCCAATGCTATGCCCCCACCAATGATAGTGATGCGGACAATAAAGATCAGTTTTATGAGAAGCTACAGTCGATCGTACAGAAGTGCTCAGGAAACGACCTGACAACCATGATGGAGGACCTAAACGCCAAAGTCGGAATGGACAACACAGGGTATGAAGATATCATGGGACGACATGGACTGGCAGAAAAGAACAAGAATGGCAAGAGATTTACAAACTTATGTATATTCAACAAAATAGTTGTAAATCGCATTATATTCCCCCACAAACGTATAAACATACGTACATGGGTCTCACCGAATCACATTACACAGAAAAAGATCGATCATATTCGGATCACAGAGTCAGATCCATGGAGGATGTGAGAACAAGTAGAAAAGCTGACATAATTTCGGATTATCACCTAGTGCTTGACACGATGGAAATTGAAGCTTAAAGAGCACTGGACAACTGGAGAAACAGCAATACAAAAGTTTAAAACAGCCTTCGAGATACTGACAAACTGAGAGAATTCAAAGTACCACACAGCAACATGTTCCAAGCTTTACAAGATCTACTCAAACGACAGGAATCTACTATGGAGAACAACTGGACACATATCAAAGAAGCACTAACTTCAACGTGTCAGAAGGTCCTGGACCGCAAGAAGCGTCATCATGAGGAAAAGATCTCTATCGAAATCGTGGGCCGAATTCAAAGAAAGAACAACAAGAAGACAGCAATAAACAAAAACTGAACAAGAACAATGAAAGTCAAGGTACAAGCTGAATCCACAGAAACAAACGAACGAGTGAAGAACATTAGAGCCAACAAGCAGAAATAAGTGGAAGAGCTAGCAAAGACAGTGGAAAAAGCTTCAAGAGAAGGAAATATGAAACAATTATATGACACAATTAAGAAACTGGAAGGGAAATATAGTAAACCAGAGAGACTAGTCAACAACAAAGAAGACAACCCAATCACTGAAATTCAAAGACAGAGGAACACTTAAGTGTAACACTTCGTGGAGCTCTTAAATAGACCAGCCTCACTGAATCCACCGGATATCAAAGCAGCACCTATAGACCTTCTTATAGATAATACACCAATGATCAAAGAAATCAGTAAGACCTGAAAATATACCAGTCGAAGCACTAAAGTCAGGCACAGACGTAACTTCATAGATAATCCCCGTTCTATTTAGGGAGATTTGGGAGGAATAACGAGTGCCAACAAACTGGAAACAAGGATACCTTATCAAGATCATCATCATCATCATCGAAGAGAGGGGATTATCTGAGCACGTATGAAAACTAGAGAAGCACCATTTCACTATTAGTACGAGGAAACGTTTACAACAGTGTGTTACTGAACCGGATGAAAGATTCAGTAGAGGCCCAACTTTGAGATCAACAGGTTGGATTCCGTATAGATCGGTTGTGTTCAAACCAAATTGTGATCATAAGAAAGCGTTTGACAGTGTATATGGGAGAACCTTAGTAGACAATATGGTGTATCTAAGAAGAATATCGAAATCATCTGGGATTTATACGACAGACTATATTGAAAAGTTGTGCATGGAGGACAGCTCACAGATGTATTTCAAGTGGAGACCGGTGTTTGACAAGGCTGATTACTCTCACCTTTTATCTTCCTACTTGTGATCGACTGGTTTGTGTAGATCTCCACAACTTAGGAGAAGCATGGTATACAATGGACAGACTGGGTACAGCTAGACGATTTGGACTTTCCGAATGACCTAGCTATACACAGAAACAAATGCAGGTGAAGACAGCCAGTATGGCAGTAGCCTCTGCATCAGTAGGCCTCAATGTACGCAAGGGAAAAAGTAAGATACTCAAATACGACACGGAGAACTCCAACCCAGTCACACTTGATCGAGAAACTCTAGAACAGGTGGATACCTTTACGTACCTGGATGCAGATGTAAAGGTAAGGATTGGTAAAACAATGACAGCATTCCTACAATTGAAGAACATATGGGACTCAAAACAACTGTCAGCCAACACCGAAATCAGAATCATCAGAACGAACGTCAAAACAGTTCTACTGTGAGGAGCTGAAACTTGGACAACTACTGCAACCATGATCTAAAATGTATTGGTATTTATAAACAACTCTCTACGCAAGACATTCAATATTCGTTGGCGAGATACCATCAGCAAAAACCTAATTTGCGAGAGAACAAACCAACTACCAGACGAAGAGGAAATGAAGAAAATATGCTAGACATGAGTAGGACATAGATTACGAAAATGATCAGATTGCATCACGAGGAAAGCACTGACTTGGAATCCTGAAGGGAAACGGAAAATTGGAAGACTAGAGAACATACTTCATCGAGAATAGGAAGCAGACGTCAGAAGAATGAATAGCAACTGGAAAGGATTGTCCAGAAAAGAGTTGGATGGAGAATCCCGGTGGGCAGCCTATGCCCCTCCATGAGGGGTTATATGCATAAGTCAGTCGACTTTTTCTTTACAAACAGTCTAAACGAAGTTACACCCATTCGTTGTTTGAAAACTCAGTCTCATGAACTTATTATGAATTCCATTTAAAAAGCTTATTTTCACAGCTTTAATAATATTGCTTGTATGTTATTTAATCAATCATTACCGTAAAACCCTATGGTGTATTATTGAAGTGTTATACCTCCTCATTCTACTTACTTGTTTTACACTTTAGATGTGAACATATACGAAGCTTTTAGTTTAAACGGTTAGAGTGTTAGCGACAATGAGTTGTTGTCTGTCAATGTATAGAGCGAAACAATCAAAAAATATTACTTTCAATAACTACTAAGGATAATGATAGTTTGACCGAATGATTAAAAAGTATTGAATTATCAAGAATCCAGCCGCTAACTGATAAGTTACGTGTTTGCGTCACTACATATGAAGCATGGCTCAGAGCTGAGTATATAAAAATGTTTATACTGATTTATCTATCTAAAAGGTCATTTATAGTCCCAATAATTCAATGATGACATCACAGAATATGAATCTAGGTAGCGTGAAATTAAATTCCAAAGGAAGCATTAATCTCATCTAGACTACAAGTAAGCCTTCTCAAACAATGTCGAATAACACAGTTTCCTGAAAAATACCTCCAACTACCTAACATCAACCTATGCTTGGTAAATGACTTTATTAAAATGCTAAAAAAGCCTACCTATAGAGACATGGCGTGAAGTCCCAAAAAAGAAGTAAATCAGAGCAGGAAAAAATGAGGTGTACAATCCATTGATTGGTTTTACTCCGGCCAAAACACCATATGCCATTCCTGTGATTTAAAAAGTTAGACTCAAACCAAAATACCAAACCTTGGGGTATATGGACTATTGAAAGTGTTAAGCCAGCAACCAGATCTGATAAAAATGATTGTAGGTTGTAAAAAGGAGCCAAAACAGAATAAAATGGGAAAACAAAGGATAGGAGGCTGGCGAGTTTCGAACAAGTGCATTTTTTCAAAATCTTATATGGCGAAAATGATCTTTGTACTTCTGGCGATTTAGGATAGTGTTGTAGAAATTTGTCCATAGTATAAATTTCACGAGTTATGGAATATGTTCTTTCCAGTAGAGGATTATCAGCATCTTCATCACTAATTGACATCTGAAAAGCTTAAAGATAATGAGTGAATGAGATTACGAAAACTCAAAAAAACAATGGTTATATGTAAGAAAACTATTTATTGGTCTATCAAGAAAGGTAGTATGCCGAAAAAAGTAGGACTTTGCCAACATTTTCGCATAGCCTTCATCTGAAACTACTTATTACAATCTCCAAATATTTACCTACAGCGATTCCAATGTAGCAATTTCCAAGTCCTTTTGAGAGTACATCAATGCATATAAATGATGGCAGCCACTTATGCGATGCAGCTTACTGAAATTCTGTGTGCCCTACAGTTTTAGTGGGTTTGTTAATTAGTGTTTAGAGTGCTCAGCTTTTAACCCACTTCAATTTGGAGAGTACAAGCTCTTTTCCCAAAACCGACCGCATATCCCTATAGTAAGACACGTCAGTTACACTGTTAAACTAGTAACTGACGGTTGGTCTTCTGTGAAGCACTCAAGAATTTCACCAAGTCATGAGATCTAAACAAAATGATCACCCTTTATGCCTACATAATTTGAATCTACCCTTTAATGAAAAGAAGCTACGAATTCCAACTCAATAGTCAAGGGTTTTAGATGTATTATTAATTGAAGCATCTCAGACGCGAAATACATGAATGAACCAATTATGGAAACTGCACAACAAAAAAACAAATCCATAACTAAATTCCGAACTACAAACGCGCGAAAAATTATTTACGGACAAACATTTGGCTGCAACAATTTTGATACCCACCTACTTCAAATGAAAAGCATATATGTGAACATTACGATCACTTAACGCATTGTAAGACATTTGCACTTAATCACGGTATATAATAAAACGAAAATATGAACAATTTGAAAAACATTTTGGCGTTTTTTCACCAAATTTTTCTAGTGTCTTATAAGTAAAACTCTTAAAAGACTTAAACCAAAATACTTTTCTAAATTATTTAATTGGTCTTATCTAATGTCTGCAATTACTTGAAATTAAACTGTGAGCACCAAATACGCATTTTACTTTTAAATGGAAATCTAGCAGTACAACGAGTTCAGACCTAACCAGCGAACCAAAAATAGGAACACTGAAAGATTAGGAACAAATAAGAATAGTTAATATGCCCAAGATGTAAGTTATAAGAATGTAAACTTCGGACTTAAGTCCATGATTCGGTATTAAAGATCAACGATGTGTAATGTGAGATGCCATTTACAACTTTTCAAGAATTGAGTGTCATTTCCCCTATAGCCGATGAATGGAACTCTAGCATATTTTTATTAAAGTCTCACGGTTCTCGACATAACAAATTAATAAGATATTTTGAGCAAACAACAGAGAAGGCAAAATTATTAAAAGCGAGAAGACTTCAACGACTTTGTCGTGGCAAATCAAATAACAGCACATATCAGTCTAATGTGAGTTAAACATAAAGGTATTGAAAACAACGTAATGTCCTAACGTCGCAAAGTCGAGTATCACAAATGTGGCGATCAAGAATTATGATAAATGTGTCAATGAAAAAATCACGAACTAACAAGAGCAAAGATACATATTCGGTTATGCTAGATATAGTTTGAACAAACTGACTGACGGAAGATATTTATTAGCCTATATATAAAAAAATCGAATGAAATAACTTCAAAGATAAAGTTCAAAAAACATGGTGCCAAATACAAATAAAACGCGGATAATATTTTAGAAATTATCAAGCTAATAATAAATTTAATGATCAGTGTACACCAAATGACAGTTCTAATAGACTTCATGGGCATATAGAGCACGTCTCAAATCAACGAACTCACCAAAAACACCACTTGAAATACCGCGAGATTTAAAGAATATTTATTGAAGTAACCAAACGCAGAGTTCATAGGTTCATATAATTCCGCACGAAATGGAAAACGATTTTACTCAAACAGTCTCCGTATCAAGCAGTGTATCGCCGATATCTTCATACATAGAAAATATGTATAGTTAACAACAAAGAAAGAAATATTAGTATATTATTAACAAATATTGTCCTGAGATTCATCCTGGAATTCAACTAGGAAGTCATCTATACCACTTCATGTGACACTCAGCTTAGTAACTGTTTAATAAACTGCCAAAAAGTGCTCAGGGTGTTCTTAGTTATTGAAAGCTCACCTCTCAGATACCTATGCTTTAGTTGGTACAGACCTGATCATAGGATATCAAGAATTCTTGATCCAGTTCAACTTGGTATAATTCTAGAGAGTAATTACTTAATTTGCACGCGTAACCTAAATTATGATTCAGATGGACTGCTTGAAGTGTTGAAGGTAAGTCCGAAGTTTTTCACTCAACTTTGAAGTCAATTCTGATAATCTTGAAATGTCAATTTAAATTTTCGGTCGTAAAACGTCTCCCACAAAGTTTCACGTCATCAGTGAAAAGCAATTAATCAGATGACGTTTGGTGGCGGATGTCTTTTGTACAAATTAGAAGGAGAAAAGATTCTTGTTCATAATCACAAAGGACCGCACCAAGACATTATGTTGCCTTAAAAGTCGAAAAATTAATCTTTATCTGAAAATGTCGATTAGTGTTTAGATGAAAATGGATTATCTGATAACATGTAGTCGAGACTGACTTCTTCATTTGCCAGAACTTTTTTGCAGACACATCAGGAAAAAGTTGATATTGCTCGACTAATTCTCAGCATTCATGTTACATGTCCTACGTGTTTGGTTATGATCTCTTGGGTAAAAAATGGTACTAGTGTTGATTAAGGACGAAGCAGATATTTAAGAAATGTACACTAGGTCAGGCGAATGTTAGTTTTGCTTAAGCACCGTCCAAGTCAATCTGGTCAAATTTGTCAGTAGACTAACCTTATTACATGCGACTTGCCAAATGTAGAACATCATTATCCTATTGTATTAGTGTGACTCATAACTTTTATTCATTCCGATAAAACACACAATACTGGTCGGTATGTTCGTGCGTTCTACCAAATGACTATGATTTCTTTAATTATTGTATAAATCAAAATATTTTGATGTTTAGAGACAAACAAAGTTTAAAGCCAAGTTGTCTTTGTTCAGACTACAGCTTTCACGTAGACACTTACTCTCCAGTATCGCGTTTACAGCTCCATTATAATATCCGTAGGACAAATTTAATCCTACCGAGAATACTCCTCATACGTAACGTGCGTTAATGCAATAAAACCAAGTTAGTCCGATAATCATATATGGACAGCTTTCATTTTATATGCATATAAAACAGGATTGTTTAAATCAGTTAATCTCTCTGACGGTATTTCATGAATGTTCATGATTTCTTCCTCTTTTTAGTAGTCTTTTAGTGGCACATTCAAGTCAGCTGGGAGTCTTTAGCCAACGTTTGTTTAATGATTGCTGGCTAAAAAGTACATCTGTAGTTTTTGTATTTCCTGCCGTTCGATCACAGTCTAGACCATCTGCATAATAGTTAATAAACCGTAACGACTAACGGTTTCTGGTGTCAGGATACAGAGTTTATAAAACTCATTCTCGTTTTTTGTATCTAATTCCATCTCAAATCAAGTCAGTAATTACATATGAGGGTAGTCGGTATATATGGATTGTTAGCATCATCTTTTGGCTAAATGTGAGTTACATCAGTGAGCCATAAATAACTGAATGTGTCTATAACTAGTACTTTTATTGGCGCTAGCCGGATAGCCATAAAGAAATGACGAAGTTAACAACAGGAAACATTAACCTAGCTGCTGTTGAAACCGTTGTCACATGTAAACCACTAGTTTGGTTACGAAATGCGTTACAGACGATAAAGGAAGATCACGACGAGGTATAATCTTTGACAAATTACTCAGTTCAATCATAGAACTTGAGTGAGGATGACATTAGTCTCATAAGCAATACTACTAAATTGACTACCGACAATGGGCAACAAATAGAATGTCCTGTTAATTGCTACACCACTTAGATAGGAAAACCAACAAGTTAGAATGGGCGCCATTCCTGACACTTGCGATAAATTACTGCATTACTGTATTACTATTTTCATGAATCCAATCAATCAGTGAACTACCTTTATACTGGGACGATGAATTTTAACACAAGTTACAAAATATGATCGATATCGTTGCGACTTTATCACGTGATTTACCCGCCAACTGAAATACGAGTTATTCAAACTTAGTACTGTATTAAATCAAAGACGATCGACCTGTATGAGCAGTTTAGCGTCCTTATTGATCCTTTGTTTGCCTATTCCAACCACTTGAGTCCAGAACGCCAATAACAGCATCCACTATGTGAAACATTAATTTCAAACATATTTGGATTATCTACCGTCCAAACAGACCATATCACACTATAAAATAGAAAATAACATTTACACAAGACCAAGCCAAAAAGTGGCTGTGAACATGGGTGACGGTAATTAGTAAACTGAGTGCAATATGAGAGCACAAAATCGCATAATAACAATCTATAGGTCGAAATGAAGCTTATAATAAAGGGAACGTAGGTATATATGATCTATTTACTGAGTAGTTGTACAATAAGAATGTATATGATATCAGTCCATTATTAGATCCCAAAAGTAACCCGTAATTTAATCTTCACCAGGGTATAACAACTAGTGAGCTGCAGAAATGCAAGTCTGTCCTGCATCGTAATTTGAAAGTTGACATCCAATCAGAGTTAGTGAAAAACACCGATGTATGGGCATTCCAGCACAACCTGAAAGCCTTCTTAAGCTAGACTTAATTGTGATTATGCTTATTCAGACAGCTAATCTTCTGCAACATTTCGGAATTAAAAGTCCCAACATGCATAAGATGCCAATAACATTAAATATTTACCAACACAGACGTTTATATACACACATATGCAAAGCCCCACTTAGGTCCATGTCATTTTGTACAGAACCCAAGCTCTTAAGGTCTAATCAGACCTGTAAAATGTACGGACAGCATACCAGTTCTGTGATTCACCGTGCTTAGTAGGATTTGACAATGTAGGTCCTTTTAGTTGATTAAACTATGCAGTATGGGATACGGAGGATTGACTTCACGTATCCTCTCTTTCACCTTTAAATAGGTTAGGATAACTCAACAGACATGACAGTTGAGCGTAAATGAAAAAGAACAAATCTACCCACTGGGAGCCCATTACAGGAGGAAGTAATGTCCGCATCTTCTGTTGATTTACTTAGGAAGCATCATACAGCAAACTAAACTTAATAGGGATGAACCAATAAAATGCCTCGACCCTTAATAGACTGGCCTGAGAAACTACATATCATCGATATTAGCTGTATTAAACTCCAAAACGAATGACCTGTCTCATTATGTAGAATTGCACATTTGACCGCCTATTAAGACGAAGCGAGATCTACTAAATAATGTCTACCGAACACATCAATCTACACTTGAGACTGCACAGAAGGCTTCAGCGTAAATTTGAAAAGTAGACGGCCGTATGCTTCGGCTAGTCGCCAAGACTACAGCAGTAAATAACCCCGTCATCGCTGTTGAATTAAACATTCACCAATGATTCAGAACAAGTGAGTCTTACAGCAGCCTAACTATCTAGACTTCTGTGAGGTATCTGACTTTCATTTCATTCAACCTACCTCATACTCAACATAACTAGTCTAAAAGTTATACACCACGCCAATTCTGCATACAAATAGAAAATACTCACTAATCCTACCCTTTACCTTTGGAATACTTTTTCGAAATAACTGGTCACCTAGTCCTGTCGAGTCTAAGAAACTTCTGAACTGTTTTCGAGCAAACCAAGGGAGCAAGAAGTAGCAGCTTATGTTCCCTAAAGTCCTCCAAATACCACGTTTGTCTGCTGTTTATTACTGGTTGAATCTTATCATGCAAGATTTAATTTACCAGTTGACCTTAGTGACTCGATATCGTCTAAACTGTTCGAAGTTAGGTAGCGAGACGCAGTATGGTTGAAACTTTGGGTACTTAGTAGCCACCACTACCTGATACCTTCAGGGAATCGATGCTTTGCTTGGGATGGCAAATTCAACCCCCCAGAATAGTGTACGGACAGCTCATTCTTCTCAAACTACGACGAAGAAGTTGCCCATAGAGTTTCCTAGTTTCTCAAGTGATTGATATAAATTTGTGACAAAAACAATTCAAAACTAGTTACACTTCACACAAACCTCTCATGACTTATTCGATCCAATCGTTTCTATAAAACAGTTAAAACAACAGTGTTAGGAATAAAATAATAATTTTCATATGTATATTTTGTTTCAAATAGGTTAAGGTGATGAAATATGATTTTGTGGGGATAAGAACATCACACTATAGTATCATTCTTCATATTCATCTTTTGTTGACTTCTCACATTAAAAAAAACATATCTGAGATGGTTACAGAACTAATTGCACAAATTTGAAGGATTTGTAGAAGAGTGATAGAGTAAAAAATCTTTAACCATTGACTCTCAACCAAACTGACCAATGTATGCGAGAGAAAACAACAACAACAAACAATGGAAGTCAGTATGCTGGATGGGCAATGACTATTTGTTGTTGTTGACTGTTGTGGCTAATTATTTTATCATTCTTTTAGTTGAGAGTGAGACGAAGGATGAATCATTGTATCTCCCGTCGGTGGTAGTGGTTGTTGTCTTGATTGATTTTTCACTCCTGATTGTGAAATATATGAGGAAGAGGAGGCGGCGGCAGCGGTGGAAGCTAAAGATGGGTCAAAAAATGATTGGAAATGTGGAGTGGTTCGCCAAATTTCTATTAAGTTTATTTTTCAGTAAACCGGAAGAATTATTCAGAAAAGGAAGGAGATAGAGAAAATAGTCAAAAGTACACCCAATTTTAAAATATTTCACATTTTTAATCACATCTTTATAATGTTAAAAGTTTATTGATAGACCTATACAGTAATAAGATGCATCATAACATAAAGGTCGATAACTAACTAATCTTGAACGAAATAAAAATGTAATTCAAATTACTGAAACCAGTCGTTGAAGCCAGTAACAATCATAAGTGGCACGCATCATAATTAACTGATAAGCTGACAATTGTGATGCCCAATTAAATACATGTTAACGATATTTTTCAATAATAACACACTTTTATTGTATCTTTAATTGAAATATGAACATATTCGTCTGCAAACATGTCTCTTATTTATTTTAATTACAATGTCAACTGAAATTCTAGTTACGGTACATATTCAAAATATCATATGTTTTTAGTGACAAGTATCACATTACTTGAATTCCGCCTGGAGCCGCTTTAAGGCTACTGCCGGTTCTAAGCCTGAATAAAGGAGGAGGGTTGGGCATGGAGTCAGCGACACCATCCCGTAGAAAAATAACTCGCTAAAAAACGCTAACCAGAAATCAGATTATTTGAAATAGTTGATTTCCTTGCATACTCACACATGAGACGAACCAATAAGATTTGAGAGAACTAGTGTAGAATTTTGGCGTGAAACTTATTTAACTATACGATATAGTAGCATTTCGGCATTAGACTTGTTGTCAGTTCATAGTGAAATTCGTAACTTTAAATGTTTACACTAATCTACAACCCCCTTTTGATTCTAGGTGAATATTTCCAAAATCATTTTGGCATGGCTCAAAGGTTATCCATAAATTATAGCCACACCTATTCACTTTTCTTGTTGACAATAAGCAAAACATTTTGATTTTTAAGATATGATGACTGTTTTAAGAAAGTTTAAGACTTGACTGATTGTACAACTGAAAGTATTTCAAGTAAAAAAGTGACCAACTGCCTTTACCTTATATTTATGTTCCAAGGTGTTCATTAAACTATCAATTGGGGTTTTCGATCAGACAAATTACTAGCTCCTTGCCTTAAAGTTTACATGTGTTACTATCGCTATCAAGGTCAAAGGTTAACTCATTGATACACATATTGGTCCTCAGTTGAGATAATGAGTCTAGACCACCATGGAAAACCTCGAAGAACTAGACGACCGTTTCGTCCTATTGTGGGACTCCTCAGCAGTGCTCATTATGCATTATAAAAAATATTTCTGTCATACATGAGGAAAGTTAATGACGATATAGTATGAGTAAACGCTATTTGTATCCCCAGATAATTGACTGCATATAGCAAGTTACAGCATATTAATTTCCCTAGTAGCATAATTTCACTAAATACAAAGATTCTATCTTAAGGATTTAATTTTGTAGTTACAATGAACTACAATTAAGTATTACATTACTAAATTAGTAAGCGTAACGAGCATAGAAAATACTAGATTATTACAACTAAAAATCAATCAAATGAATTCATTTGACTGGTTAATACCAATTATCCATCATATTACACTGAAATAACTTGACAACCGAGAAGTTATTCATCTGTCTATTTAATTTTTGATAAGTGTGAGTCCTATTCCGCTCATTTATTGACAGTGATGCATGTAAGAATGTAACTTTTAATGGAGATTTCATTTCAATCCCTAACTTTAACTAAATTATATTGTTTAACTGGTATGTTAAGTATGTGCTGGATTGATGGGTTCACAACAGATAGAAGTGAATAACTTTATGTACTTAAAATGAAATCTCTAATGAAAATTACACTTTTACATGCAACACTCATTTAATAAACAGATATAAAACTGATAGAAGATACTCAGTAACGCATTATCATTAGTTGAACGCTTAAAAAAAAGACGGATAAACTTATGTCTAATCACTAGTGGTAATTAACAAATCATCTGTCATTCTTATTCTTTAGAATAATAATGAAGAACTATACTGTAAAGATGATCTTCAGGGAACTCATTAGAAGTAAGAAAGAGGTTCTTCCATTTTGAGTAAAATTTAAACAACTATGAAGGATAGATTATCGCTTCATATTACAGCTAATGAAAAACTGTCTATATCTAGTTCTAAATGTGTCTAATTACACGTTGAGCAAACTTGATATGATTCAAGGTATATTCAAAAAATATCTGTGTAGATAAAAATGATTAATCTACATTAATTTCAACTCCTAACTCCAAAACCTTTAAGCCCATGTAACTCTAGCTAATAATCTTAACACTGTTAATCTTAATACATGACCCTAATCTGTTTTCTACTATTATAATTAACAATTTATTGATCACATTGAAACCAATTGTTTATTTTTAATTGAATTACTTTTTAATGTAAATTTGCATTTAAATAAACACTAATTTCTTCTGATTTGTCAATACATTCCTAAAAGTCGTCAAGATATTATCCTACCTTTTGTCGACTAATCTAACCATTAAGAATAGTTGTTGAATTATCTAATCTGGATGATATTTCCATTATTCGTTGAAATAGTCTCATCAGAACCTAACTTAAAAAGACAATAAAATCTCCACAAGTAAATCATCTAGCTCAGAGGATACGAATGTTGTTAAAGTACAAAGAATATATATATTTCAATAGTTGAGATCATGAGTCAATTGAAGCTAGACCACCATGGGAAACCTGGAAGCACTAGACTGCCGTTTAGTCCTATTGTGCGACTCCTCAACAGTACGCATCCACGACTCCGCCTCGTGGGATTCGAACCCAGCACCTATCAACCGGGTCAGTTGTAAGATAGTAACTCACTGATGACAATGGTGGATGTATTGCTCAATATCGTGGATTAGTTGAAGTTAGATATTGACACCGTTAAATGCCAGCAGGCTGTGATCTAGTGGTTAAGCGCTCACACGCGAGACTGACAGGTCCTGGGTTCGAATCTCACGAGGCGGGATCGTGGATGCGTACCACTGAGGAGTCTCACAATAGAACGAAACGGCAGTCCAGTGCTTCCAGGTTTTCCATGGTAGTTTAGCTTCGACTGAGTCATGGTCTCAGCTACTGAAATTGCTACAATCTCCACAATACCCCTTCTGAATATATATATTTACAGTAGGATCATCAATAAAGTAAGCAATTAATTAACCCAACAATGGTAGAATTTACTAATACTATACAACACATTATTTAACATAATTTGTAGATATCTTAATAAAAGCAAAGCTTACGTTCAAGTAAATCTGTAGATGAGATTTGATTATTTTTCAATGTAGAATCTAAAATATCAAACAAATAAAAAGCGTAGAAATAACGTCTTATTAATAGTTCAACTGGATTTGGTTTAATTTAATTATATAAATCAGTATAGGGATTTGTAGAGATTGTAGTATATTCACATTTAAATTCATGAGTTGATCTTCATTGAAAATCTGGAAGCACTAGTCTAGAAGTTAAGCGTTCGCGTGCCAAACCAAAGGTCCTGGGATTAAAGTGCATTTGGTGCAGGATCGTAAATGAGCACTATTGTAGAGTCCCGTACTAGGATGAAACGACCGTCCAATGCTTTCAGGTTTTTAATGGCGATCTAGCTTAGATCGACTCATGAAAACAAATCACTTCATTGATGATAAATATATCTAAATTGCAAAGTTCTCATAGTCATTCTGGACAATTTTATCAACATTTATTTCATCTACAATCAAGTTTTTCTAATTACAAAAGTGTGAAATTAGTTCGATCTCATGGTTCTATTTATAGCTAGTTGTCTATGTAGGTTCTATTTCATTTGTTTGTAATCAAGCTGATTATTTTTTTTCGGTTCCCCTTCGACTATGTGATTGATTGAAATTTTACACATAGGCTGACAGAGTAGAACTACATTGTATCATCGATGGATTGTTAATCGATTTGAATCAAAGTACAAAGTTTGTTGAGACAACAGTAGGATCTGAGAAAAAGTGTTCATTAGTTAGAGGTCGTTCGAACAAGACAATCAACTTGAACTAAGAAATAACCATTTACGTAGATTATGTGTTGATAATGTTATCCCCGGAATGATACAGAATATTCTGTAATTCAACTATTTAACTCAGAAAACTCGATAATACCAAAAGTATCCACCTGAAACTCATATCTTCTGCCTCGTAATGTTCCGTATCACAATAGTGAGTACAATGGAATAGGATATATTTTACAATTAACTAGATAACAAAAATCCAAATGTCCAAAAAGAACTAGAATGTTCAAAGAATTATTATTATTAATAATCAGAGAGAGGTTTTTGTGAATATTATATTAATTAAATGGTTGGGATCATGAGTCGATTGGAGTTAAACCACCATAAAAAACCTAGAAGGCCGTTTTGTCCTATTGTGGGACTCCTGAGAAGTGCGCATCCACAATCCCACCCTGTGGGACTCGAACTCAGGACCTAATGGCCTCGCACGAACGCCTAACTCGCGAGCGGGATCGTGGATGCGCACTGCTCAAGAGTCCAAAAATTGGACAAAACGGTCGTCCAGTGCTTCCAGGTTTTCTGTGATGGTCTAGCTTCAGTTGACTCATGATCTCAACTATTAAATTATTATTATCAAATAAGTTGAGAACTGTCTTAACTATAAGTAGAAACACAAATGTATTTCACTTGAATACAAATCTAAAATTAGGCAAGATAACAATAAAAAATCAACCGATGAATGATGACAGTTTCGGTGATAAATATGCTGATACATTGCTAGGATAGTTTTAACATTTTCTGTGCTACTAACCACAATGTATATGATAAGAATGAGTTATTCATTTTCTTAAAAGTATGATATATCACCTTGTGACTGTTTAACATTAATGATTATTTACATAAAAATAATTAATTAATAGCCTATTGATCATTTCAATCTGATTAGAACTGGTAAGTTAGTGTTTGATGACATCTTCGTACAGAACATAACAATTCAATGGATTAGATCCAATGTTGAAATATGTGAAGTTGATGAATAACACATCTCGAAACACCACTCAGAAATAAAGAAAAAAACTGATTAAGAGAAACAATAATGACTATTGGATTTGCTAACTGTTAGTCTAACAAGTTTAAATTGATGAAAACTGAAGATTTAAGATAATATGGATTCGAAGAACAAAAGCAAACGTAAGCGATCGTACTCAGTCAGCTACAACGTAGGACCAGGCACATTATGCATCGGTCCAAGTTGCCACACTTCATTAGCACAACAAGATAAACATCGAATTCATAGAAGTAGTTAATTCGATGGTGGTAATATATAAAAGAAAGATTGAATATAAGGATGTAGTACAGGAAGAAAGAATTAGTTCGTAGGAAGATATATAGCAATTTTAATCTCATAGTTGAAGCGAAGATGGAGAGTGTATACACATACACCATTGTGATCGATTCTGAGCCATGTCACCAAGAGTCTCCAACCATTGGTTACAATAGTCACGCGGACCCCAACCAAGTAGTCTTCACCTACCAACATGGTTCAGACTAGAAGTTAGTGACTTCGAGCACTGATGCCACGTTTTGGTTTGGCCGCCCCTAACTTTCTTTCAACCATCATCAACACTAGTCGGCATTGATGTTGTAGTAATCAGTGTTCAGGTATACGTAACACGTGACCCAACCATCTGAGTCGATGTAGATTTACAACCTCATCAACTGATTTATCATCATTCCCTAATACTCTGCGTCTAAGCTCACTATTACTTACTCGGTGATCCCAGCAGATGAGAGCAACATTTCCACAGGATCATGGAGTCCAAGTGACCATTGGTTTGTGTTAGCGGGACAGAAATTGGATTAAAGTATGTTCCATGCACGATTTTGTTGGTTGTTGGCTAATTCTTAACCAACCACCGCTGGTCGATACTTGGAAAAGACTCTAGAATCTTCTCATGTAAAAACTATAAATATACTAACATTTTTCTTATTCTAACTCTTATTTCGATCTACCCTTGTTATTTGAAATATAATTTAGTTTCTGTATAACCGTGTTCTGATCTGGGGCCTTGTCGAGTGAATTGGTGTTCAGGAATACTAAGCAACAGGAATAGTTGGGTTGTAATAAGAGAGAACTATAACAGTTTGGAATCATGTTTCTCCAACTCCTTAGGTTAATCCTCTGTATCCGCCAACACGGTTTAAGCATCGGATGTGCTTTTATCGCCCCCCCCCCAAGTTTCGTAAAAAGCACCTACCACGAAAAGGCGAAAAATACGACTTCCCTGGTGGTGGCTATATACGCGTGGCTATATAAGAACATTTGAAGAGGAAGAATGTACTCTCCCAACTCTCGGTCATAACAAATATTTTTTTAATGAGTTACCTTCCCCTATAAAAAATTAAGGTGAATATGTATATTTGGAAACTTAGTAATTTTTCCAAGAAAAAGCTCTACCGGTCTTCCAAAATAACCAGGGATCAATAAGCAATCTATGTGATATATGTTTCATAAAAGCAAGGGATAGTAAAAATGGCTAAAATAGTGATATTTTAACAATAGTTTTGTTAGCACAATAGGGTTTAAGAAGATCGTCAGATCTTGTAGTTTACATGACGCACTAACTGAAGCCTTACACTTACTAAAAACCAGGAAGCACTGCACTGAACGGGTGTTACGTCGCAGCATGTGGCTCACCAGGAGTGCGCGTCCTCGACCAAGACCTCAAATTAAAGACTACTGAGTTGGCATCCGAAATTTGACATTTCTATTCAATAAATAGCACGACCATCATCAAGTGTCAGGGGTAGGTAAATGCTTCTTTCTCAGAACGATTGCACTCCACTGAGTTCAATCTCTAGTGGGATCGTGAGTGAGAACTTCTGAGGAATGCCATCAGTCAGTAACAACATAGAACGTCGTACGTACGTACATCAGTTCGAGTTGCCATACCACATTAGCACACAGATACAATTGTCCAGACAAATCCCATACTGGTAGAGGTAGCAAGAGTATAAGCAGTAATCGGAAAGTTTAGGGTTTGAAGATGTTATTAAAGGAGTATACCACAGTGAAACAAATTTGGAAAGAAAATAAGGGACATGAATAATCCAGAAGATTAGAATTTGGGAGAACACAAAGAGTGGATGCACCTGCGTCATTGCAAACGATTTTGAGCCATGTCATTCAAGGTCTCTAATCATCGGTTACAATCATCTCGCCGTCCCCAACCAGGTAGTCTACACCTGCCAACATGTCTCAGTCCACTTGTCAGTGACTTCAGAGATTTGTGCACGTCGGGGCAGTCGGTGGTTGGGCATACGTAACAGATGTCCCAGCCATCTCAACTGATGAGGCTTCACTACTTCATCAACTGATTTGCCATCCTTACCTAGTACCCGTTCCCTAACAACTGCGCTACTTACTCGATGGTCCCAGGATATACGAGCAATGTTTCGAAGACACCTATGATCGAATACTAGTAACCTACGAATATCCTCTACTCTTACCGGCCATGTTTCACTGCCATAAAGTAGAACGGAACGAACTGCTGCGTCCTTTGGTTGGTAGACGATATCTCGCCTACACCATAAATGACACAAGTTGGCAAAAGCTAGTCGAGCCTTCTGTATCCGTGCTGAGATTTCGTCACACACTAGACCACAAGGACTGATCAAACTCCCAAGATAAGTGAAGTGGTCGACACGCTCAACTACTCCACTCCCTACCATTAGTCCAGTTGTCGATGCAACCCAATCCTTAAGCAACATTTTTGCATTTCGAGGGGGGAATCGCATCCCGAACATGCTTGCATTGTTGCTTAGAGTGGTCAGAAGACTCTGCATTTTGTCAGAGTCTTCACCAAATAGAACTATGTCATCAGCATATTCCAAGTCAACAAGTGAATCTCCTGGTAGAAGTTCAACTACTGGAAATTTAGATGAGGAAAGTGTTATCACTAAAACACGTCACCGACAATGTTAAACAAGAATAGAGAGAGTGAACAGCCCCGAAGAACACCACTTGAGGTAATCAATTCTGATGACAGTTCGCCATAAGCTCTCACCCGACCAGTTGTGTTCGAGTAGAGAGCCTTTATAAGGTTAATTTACTTCTTTGGTACTCCTTTCAGTGACAAACACTGCCATCGAACCTCACGATCAACAGAGTCAAATGTTGCCTTAAGGTCCAGAAATACTACGATTGTGGGACGTCTGAATGGGTGTCTATGTTCTAGGACCTGACGTAGTGTGAATATCTGATCTATACAACCACGTCCAGGTCGAAAACCAGCCTGATTTTCTCTAGTCTGCTCTTCACGAGCTTTACTTAGGCGTCGAAGTATTATTGAAGCTAATATTTTAGACATTATATTAGTCCAACTGATTCCTGTGTGATTGTGACAAGAGGACTTTTGTCCTTTCTTATAGACTGGCACAATCAGTGATTGAGACCAGTCACATGGGATTACGTCCTGTTCCCAGATTCTACATAAGACCTCAGTCAATCTCACTGCTAATACTAGACCGTCATCCTTAAAAATCCCGGGGGTAAAACTGTCAGGGCCTGCTGCTCTCCCTCGTTTCAGATTCCCTATAGCTTTTTCAACTTCGTAAAGGGACGGAGGACTTACATTAACTTGCCATTCAGGTTGACTAGAGATCGTGGGAAACCAAAGTGTGGCTGAAGGCCAGTTGAACTGATCCCTAAAGTGTTCTGCCCATCGATCCAATCTCCTGGGTTGAGAGTGTATAATGTGTTCATCTTTTTCTGAGATAGTTTCGCTAACAGTCGGTTTCTTAATACCGGTTTCCTTAACAAGTCTTAACAATTGTCTGCTATTACTTATTGCCGCTGCCTTTCCCATCTCTCTTGCTTTCGCTACCCACCACTGTTCACGATCATTGCGTAGGCTTCTTGTCAGCTTGCGCTTAATCAGACTCCGCTCTTCGTTATGTTCAGAGCCTGATGGAATGAGTTTTTGAGACATGCTTAGACGAAGCATCTATTGAGTGCTTCTCGGTTTTGAATGGTTATTTAGCTATAGTCGATCTGTGATTTAAACTACAAAACAGTCATTTCAATAAGCAATTGAAACTATAACACAACAATGCATGTATTAATTTACTTGAAGATGATAACCGACTGGATAAAATGGCGGGATCGTCGAGTTGCCATGTAAATGAGGAAGCTTGAAAAAGAAAACAAAAGATTATATATATAATTTAAGTTACGTAATGAGACAATCGACATAATTCAAATTCAGTGTTATAGTATGAACAAGATAATAGAAGTGCCTTCCCTAGTTAAAAACAAAATACATTCACAGCATAGGATATATATAAGCAGGCTTGATTGATGTGTTAATACTTCAACATTCCATATAATTCATTAAGTTTGGATAATTTCTTCATTGATAACAATATAAAATAGGTAAAACAAAATTGTACTATTGGTAGCCGAACTTTTGGTAATACTAAGTTCTTTGAGCTAATAGACTGATTGAGAAGCTTTAATTATCATTCTGAACAACAGTATAATGATAAACGCTGTGCAATCAAACCATTTCGGTTTAAAGAATGCAACACCATCAAAGGTATCCATTTGAATTGTAAATCATCGCCATCAGTATCCTAAATATTACAACAGACGAAAATGAACAGTAAACAAAAGTATGTCGACCTGCTTTTCTTTCTATTTTATTATTTATGATCCGGTAAATATTCGATACAATAATGTGTCACATTTGGTATACAGTCTATGACATTACTCTTTCATATCTAGAGTAAATCACAATGTTTTCACAAAGATTCAATATTTCAATGAATCTAACCAACAAAAACATGGATTAACCGTTAGGGAGACGCCTTTCCACAGAACCTAGATGAGAAAAGTAGATTTAGGCGCTATTCATTATTGTACAGATTTTGAGACCTAAGTGGACTACTACTACTTCAGAAGCAGGATTTATCAACTCCATTAAAATGGAACGTTTATGTATACCGAATTCGTTTAACCAATAGATAATTCTAGAAAATAAACTGATCAAGGACGAAATAATATTTACACAAAACAAATTAAATGATTATTAGAGCTATAAGTGTAGTGAATATTCATAATAGCGTACTTGAAGTCTGGAGAGAGAAAAAACAGTTAACAATAAAAGAAATTATGAAATTATATAATTATCAATTTCCTTGGCCAATATACACTAATCAGTAAATAAATATGAAAACACAAGTTATTTGATAAACAACCGAATACAACCTGTAAATTATGAAAATCAGTAAGAGATTGTAGTGATTAAATAGTTAAATTCATAAGTCGATATAAGCTAGATCACCATTGAAAACCTAGAAATATTGATTGGCCGTTTCGTCTTAGTATAGGACTCTTCAGTGGGATCGTAGATGCGAACTAATGAGAAGTTCAATACTAGGATGAAATGGCCATTCACTGTTTCAAAATTTTCAATGGTGATCTAGATTACAATGACTCACAAATTCAACTAATAAATTTTACACGTATCTAATTTTGACTTCTTGTAAATTCTAACTCTTATTCGTCTTATTTTATAATAACTGTAATAAATTACAACGATTGAGTCAAAATAAGAGATTAGATTAAAAATGAGGTTATAGGGTTAGATCTTTAAAAAAAGCATTCATACAGACATTATTATGATAACCAATAAAATTTTAAGATAAAGACAAAAAACGGTGGGAATATTAATTATGGACGACTTTTGAGTGTCGCTAGACTGACCTTCAGAGTGTACACATAATAACCAAGTCCAAAAAAAAGGGTTATAAACCTGTGTAAGGAATTAAAATTATGATTTACATTTGATGGTCAAAAGTTAGAAATTAGATTTAGGGTTTTCATCATGAACTGACATCAGCTACAATGCCGAGATTCTATTTAGCCAAATGGATGAGTGAATTTCGAGCCAAAATCCGAGACCTATAATCTTATACCTGATTGCTTCGTCTATAAATTATAGTTTCACCAGGAAAACTTAATCAATATATACAATGATTGATAAACGAAAAAAATTAAAGATACATCCCAATGTGAAGATCAAATTAGGAAAGATGAACTATGGAATTAGCTTTTTAGAGAAAGATATAGAATAATAAAAGTATCACACCTTATAGCTTATAGAATTCTTTAAAAATTTAGCTGAAATACTTATTATAGATCAAAGCATGAATTAAAATGATTGATAAGTATGTTATTTATCTAAGAATGAATAGTTATCTTGAAAGTCTATCTTCTATGTTTATTAAATCTACTTGACCTAACAATAAATCTCTAAACATTAAACGTCACATTCATATTTACTGTTTTAGAAGCAAAAATAAACTTTAAACAGAGTCAGTCCGTCAGTAACAACGTAGAAATTTGTACATACGTACATCAGTTCAAGTTGCCATACCACATTAGCACAGAATCTTAAACAGAACTTATAGTAATAAATATAACAAGGGAGTATTTATTTAGCTACTAACCCCCCCACCAACTACTCCTGAATGAAAAGGTAAGTATTTATACTTGCTTTAACCGACAATGATAAATTTCTATTGTAACCATGAATCTCATAACTTCTGGTAATAAACGATACTCTTACATTTTGACAATTAAAAAAATATATATAATTTACTTTCTTAATTGAATCAATGCTACATTGTAAAATAGAAACAAGACAAAAAAAATACTAAATGTGCGCCAAAATTAATTACCTGAATTAGTTGAAGTAGGATGGGAATCCATATCGGTTAGGCCTGTGTTGCAGCAGAAACTACTATTATTAGTATTAGTATTATTATTATTCTGAAAAGAAAAGCCGGAGCAGATTCTATAAGCAATTAGCACTGAATATATCAATAGAATTATTAAACTGCAAGAAACTCATTAACATAACTCACTAACATTACACCGACTTTAATCAGTGCAAATGTACAACACTTTGAAATTGTCTTATAACATAATCAATCTATTATATAAGAAGTGAAAAGTCAGTAGTTAATAAACGAATCAGATGATAAATCATCTGTATATAGTTGAGATTAATGCTTTAGTATATGTAATCCAACTATTAATCACCTACATTTAGCAAAAAAAAAGACAAAAAATCAAAACTAATTTCAGTTAGAGATGTAAAGCATTGAACACCGATCTGGTGGTTTTTAAAGCAAAGTGCACACTAAGAAACTTCAGGATCCTACATTGGGTCCCTGACAACGTCATGTGTACACACCACTGAAGAGTATCATACTAGGACGAAGCAGCTGTCTAGTGCTTCCTAGTTTTCAATGGTATTCTAGTTTATGACGAATGTGTTCTATGAACATGAATTTAAAGAACGGGATGAAAGAGAAAGTATAATGACACAAAAATCTACTTATAATTTTTCTTGCTGTTGTGATGTTTAACTAGACTTGTTTTAAAGTTTCAAATTAAATTTGCCTGTTCATGACACTACAACAAGCAATTAACACAATCATATCTTATCTTTCAAGAATTTGAGGTTAGAATATTATTAGGAATTTTCCTACTCCTAGAATGACCAATAATAATATCCATTCACTGACCTTCCAAAACACTGTGTAAATTCGCTACTGATCATTCAACACAAAATGCAACAATGCCATCCGTACATTTAAAAAAATACTTGTTGGTCTTTTACTACTACAGGGTAATTAATAATAACAAAAATGAATACGAAAGTGTCATTTAACTACCTGACAATAATTAGTACTAATGTTGAATGAGAGTAAGAGAAAATCCTCATGTAAGTACAATTACGAGTCAGCTATAAATCATAAATTTTTGTGCACAGGTTTAGGCAATCATACTTGGACGAAAAAATATTGAGAGACATAAGTTTAAGCTATTAAGTCATAACTGCAGTAACAATTCATATATATATATAACATGTTTATTGAGTGTCGTAGTAGCAAACAATTTATTGATCCCTTCAACGACTGTATAAGGAGTGTGATCATGAAAAAAAGTTCAATAACTTACTAGGTATATCAAGATATTAACCGGTTCAGTACAACCGATGGGAGCTCCTAAACATAGACTACTTTCTATGCAACACTTATCAATAAGACCCAGATAGTTATGAGAAAACTGATGAGATTAGAATAGGCATTACCCAGTTTTACAGAGATGTTTGCACTGAACTATTTTAACTGTTACCGCCTTTATGTAGAACTGAGATTATTACATAACGAAACACTAACTAACAACTAGTTTTTATTTGTTTAGGTAACTTGATATTGACCAACATTTTACTTGATAAGTATTTTTGAAGCCAAATTTCAGAATAGGTGAAATCTATACAACCCATTCTTCAAAATTCCAACTATGAAATAACAAGGTGATACTTCACATCACTTTTATTTTGAACATCCTAGTACCCTTGATATACGGAAAAGATATATATGATCTATAGTCGAGTACATGAATTCAAAATAGGTTATTGAGTCGCACTAATTTAGAATGATGATGGGGTTGCGCAAAATCGTAAACTGATTGGAGTTAAACATTAATACTTTTGGATGCCAGTCGGCTCAGCGGTCTAGAATTAAGAGTTCATACGCGGAACCAAAGGTCTTGGGTTTAATTTCAGAGTGAGGGATGGTGCTTCCAGGATTTCAATGTTGGTCTAACTAAGATCAGTTCGTGATTTCAGATGTTAAAATATTTTGTACTTTTTGTTGGACAAAACCCGTAGTAATATTTCTAGAACAATGTGCATTTTACAATCATGCTTTAATAGTTAAAGGACAATTTTCAGATGTGCTGAGATGGATGACGGTTCAAAGATAACGGACACTCAAACAAAACAATGTAACTTAAAAGCTGATCATATAAATGCATATTTAGTGGATGAGTTACGATTGGAAGCAATGATTATTTATTTATCTAGAAATAGACCAAATCATAAGAAAATGTGTCTAAATATTATTTAAAAAAATTCATCCATCTACGAAGTTGGACCGAGTTTTGTACATATCAGCCATGAAGAATGAGAATTAAACCCAATCAAAGTCGAAGTTTGATATGAGAATTCAAATTTGTAAACTGATAATTTGAATGACAGAAATCTTCATTAAGGTTAAGTATAAATTCTAAAAAACATTATTAGCATAAGAGGTTTGTGGAAGCTGATGAGCTTTATAGTTAACATCGTGGACGGATCTTAGTTACACAACCATTCAGAATCATAGGGGACTTGCTGGCAGTTTCTCTCTAGTACGTGACTACTCATTGACTATGATCACACACGATCCGACTGTAGATCGAATGTAAGCTTTCAGTAGTTTGACTGTTAAACGCTCGTTACGAGACCTGGTGCTCCTGAGTCTTATTCCCGAAGGGGTCGAGCAATCCCATACTAGGGCAAAACATGTATCCAGCCTTCCCTGGTTTTCTTTCTTTTAAATTTATTTTAACACATAGATATTGGTACAAGAAGGCACCAAATACATATGCGCCACATAAATCTCATTCGATATGTGTAAGGGCTGTGATACTGCCCGGGTGCCCAAATTGAAGCAGGTGGTTTTCTTAGGGGGCCACTCCCCGAGCCTTTTCCACTGCATTTGAATTGGCCATATGGTTTGAGATCATGAAAGTTCTCTCATAAAATCGCGCGTTTACAGCATATGTAATAGAATTTCTACTCGTTTTATGAAAATGAGAACAAAAAGCGTACGTCCAGAGTTTAACTTAGGTTGTTGGATACAGAAGCTTTACTTAGTGTGTGCGTGTGTGTGTGTGTTTATGTGAGGGGGTTGACTTCAAACGTTCCAAATTAATTAAAAATACTAATCTCAAACGCTTTTAGCCTAACCCGTAACTGATAGAAAAACAAAAACCTGTTTAGAAAGTCCAATGAGTAATTTGAACCGATAGATCAATACTCTATAATTCACACAACAAACTAGACTTAATAGGAGGATAATCGCCAAAAATAATCCAAACTACAAACATGCACACACACACACACACACTTCGGCAAACTCAACGAAGTATTGAAATTGCCAATGACTAACATAGATATTCACTGTTAAAAAAAAGTATATCTCTATGTATAAATGAAACAATTACAATATAAACATTTTAAAGCAAATCACACAAAAAAAAATTTTTTTAAAGAAAAACCAAACAAGAAAAAACAGAGGACACTTACTACACATAGAGTAGATAGTAATTTTGTTTTTTTCCGAACAAGAGAAAATAATAATAACAATAGAAAGAAATCAGTGACAGTATCATAAGTGGTTTACAAATTAATAATAATAATAATAATAATAATAATAATAATAATAATAATAATACGACTATATCAGAATGGGTTTTGTGGAGATTTTTAGAAATTTCACTGGTTGAAATCATGAGTCTTCAGGAGACACTTCTGGAGTTCTAGTGAGAAGTCGTTACCAATGGAGTTCAATCAGGTCTGTGTTATGAGATAAGAACCCACTGTAGACAATGGTGTACGGATGGCGCAACTTTGTGGATCGGTTGAAGTTAGACATTAACACCGTTAGATGCCGGCTTAATGGTCTTGTTGGTTAGGCGCCTGGCACGAGACTTATAGGTCCTGGGTTCGAATCTCGCGGGGGACGGGATCGTGGATGGGCACTGCTGAGGAGTCCCATACCAGGACGAAACGGCCGTCCAGTGCTTTCAGGTGGTCTAGCTTCAATTGACTCATGATTTCAACCAGTGAAATACAACTATAATTAATTGTAGTAGTACAGAATCAATAAACTGGAACGAAATGAAAGCTACCAATCATAAATATATTTTTTTTCTAGAAAAAACAAATGTGGGAAACATTAGTATACTAAAGTGTTTTGTTGGACAGTCACCACCTGACAAAAGAAAGAGAGAGATCACTTTTATCCAAGTTATACAAATAGTAAGAGTAGTAACCAGTATGATAAGATTTGTTATCGTTTTTAGTCATAATGTTTATACAATTTCTAATACATGTAAAAACTGAACATTCTTCAGAACAAATACACCTAAGATTATCAACATCATGTTTGTTAAGAATAATAATTTATTGGATATAAAGAAGTTATGAATTCTAATAGAGTATTGTTCTCTGAGCTAGGTGGTATGGTCTTGGAGCTTTCATCATTCTTCTGAACGACATCGTCAGCACAAACGTCTACCTGAAGTTACCGCTGGTAATGGTGACGTTCAGAAGAACGATGAAAGCTTCACGACCAAACCATCCAGCTCAGAGAACAAAACTTCATCAAAATCATCCACCTGAGCTACAAATCTTCTCCATCATCTCAAAATTATGAATTCAATAGAGATTTATTGTTTTCTACAAATTGATCTGTATGTCGTTAACAATTTAAAAGTATGAAATCTTGTAATTAACAACTTAACACAAATTATCCCCAATTGAAATATTTTTAAAGACACTTCACCGATATCATTCAGTCGAATTACATATCATCGTCATTTCAGTCAGTCAGTCAGTAACAACGTAGAACTTCGTACTTACGTACATCAGTTCGAGTTGCCACACCACATTAGCACAGAGATGCAGTTGTCGATTCAAATCCCGTAGTGGTAGAAGTAGTAAGAGTATAAGCAGTAATCGGGAAAATTAGGGTTTGGAGATGTTATTTAAAGAACATAATCCAGTGAAATAAATTTGAAAAGAGGAAATAGAGACAAGGAGGAATCAGGAGATTAGAATTTGGGAGAACACAAAGAGTGGATGCACCTCCGTCATTGCAAACGATTTTGAGCCATGTCATTCAGGGTCTCTAGCCATCAGTTGCTATCAT